TTGGTGAATGACTGACACCTACAACAGTTTGATCACTGACCTTCAGCTGCCTGGCAGGGCAAGGTTTGTCCCGAGAGGAGGAGGATGATTGTGATGAGCGTGAAGAGGAGTCTGATTTGGAGTCAGAATCTGATGAGGAACCTGAATCTTGTGCCTCAGTCACAACCACCCTGTCTTTGATGGCTGTCTGCTGCCTCTTGTCCTGCTCCTCCTTAAGCCGTTTCTCCTCTCTTCTCTTCTCGTCATCCTGACGTTTTCTCTCTTTTTCTTTTTCGTCTTCCTGACGTTTTCTCTCCTTTTCTTGCTCCTCTTTCTGACGCTGTTTCTCCTTCTCTTCCTGTCGTTTTCTCTCCTTTTCCTTCTCTTCTTCCAAGCGTTTCTTCTCTCTCTCCAGTTCTTGTGATTTTCGTCTTTCTCTCTCCTTCTCCTCCTTCAGCTGCCTCTCTTCCTCCATCTCTCTGTTCTCTTGTTGCCTCTTTCTCTCCAGTCTTTGCAGTGGAGATTCACTGGAAGACCCAGCAGTAGAGTGTGCTGCATCTCCTGACATTCCTGCAGATGACATGGGCTCCACTGCACGGAAAGCCCCCTCGGACTCCATCTTGTGTGCAAGCAGAGAAAGCGGTCCTCGCCTGCTCTTCACAGGGGGCTCAGGACTACTGGAACGAGAGCTCGAGTCAGAGTCTTGCCCTTGCATGGTGGGAGGTTGGAACGATGCTCCCCTTGGACCGCGTGCAGGCTCAGGGCCATTTCCCTCCTGGTCGTCTGGGTCTGGTGGGCTCTGCTTGGGAGTATCAGGAAGGGGGAACAGGTCAGGGGGTGGAGAAGGAGGAGGCGTGGGATGGCGCAGCTGCATGGGGGTGTGGTGTACCTGTGGTGGTGGGATGTGCTGCGGCGGTTGAAGCTTGCGTTTGGATCGTCCACCTGCCGATGGGACACTGGGGGGCATCTGCTGCGGCTGGGGAGGGACTCTGTTGCCCCGGCGTGCTGTGCCAGGACCAGGCCCCCAATCCTCATCATCCTCACTCTCATCATCACCATCATCTTCGTCACTATCCTTATGGACATTGCCTCCTGCTGATACCCCAGCAGATCTGCTAAGGTGGAGGACAGGATGAGCTGATCCCGGCTCACTCGGTGCGGTGCCCTCCTTCTCCTGGGCTCGGGGCACGGCAGGGGGCACACCCTGGCGGTCAGGCTTACCCAGGACACGCACTGACAGGGAGGCTACAGCGCGGGGAGGAGAGGGGGCTGGTGGCTCCTTATGTCCTATGGCTCGCTGCATCCTAGCTCCTGGAGCCTCAGGGGACTCCTGGCAGTGGAGGGTAGGACCGGGGCCCATGTCAGCACTGTATGCCATCATCCCATGACCCACCACTGAAGTTCCTCCTCTCTCCTCTGCCCTGGTCAGTGCGGGCTGAGAGGGTATAGCGCAATGCTGCTGGGCATAAATATTGAAATGACATATGATATACATTTTGTGGCATTTACAAGCATAGACATTTTATTTCAAATTCCAGCTCTTTTAAGTTTCAACACCTAAGCTGTGTAATGTAAAATGCACCAGCTATGATCTGGCATGAGAAGCAGAACACTGAGAGACATGAGAAAACAAGATTTTTCACAACATTTCTCCATCACTGTGCAGCAGCTTAGTGTGTCCTCTTTGGTGGGATAAAACCTTAGTTTTTCTCATTTTATTATTCAGTGTGTGGACATTGCTGACCTTGTCAGGGACATAGGAAGAGCTGTCATTGTCCTCTGAGTGCTCTTCGTCCTCCTCTGGCACTGCTGGGCTTTCTGTCAGTGAGGGACACAAGGCAGGGGTTAAGGGTCAGCACCAAAGTAAGGATTAAAACTCAAGACACACACCCACTGGATCCTAAACAAGGGCAACCTCTCAATCGATCAAAAAAGAGATAGATCAATTTCTGCTGAGTCTCCTTCTACATCATCTCAGGTGTAGGTTGTTCTACAACCTAACATAATGAGAGCTGGCTTTTTTTAAGACATTATTATCTTAACCAATTATAAATTACTTTAGTAATTTTTACATTGATGTATGTCAATAGCGGCTGGGTGATATGACTACATCTGTGTCCCATGGAGTTATATGTGCATGATGAGGGATTATTTTTTTAATATTTCTTCTGTAATGTGTGATTCTTCCAAAACCTTTATTTAATAATCCAATATCGCAGCTAGTTGCAACCTGTTTATGAGCATGTGCAGTCATACATACGTTGTTCATGTAGCAGAGACTGAGTTAACTGTCTGATTTGTGTTTGTGTGTGCCATGTTATACCATCAGCCTCTTCCTCTTGCTGGGCCTCTCTCTCAAGTCTCTGGCGAAGGAGCTCCTGCTGCTTGGCCAGGTACTGTTTTATGAAGCTGTTCTGGCACATCTCCTCCCCTATCTACAACAAAGAAAAGTCAAAAAAATAGCACATAGAAATGACATCACATATTGTCAAAGAATTAACAAACTAACTCATCTTTAAAAATCTCCTCCTACCTGAGAGTTGGGCTGCAGCCCACTGTGGGAGGAAGATGACTTCTGTAGGTTTTCCAGCATCAGAGCCTGCCAGAAATGAGTAAGGGGAATTATTTAAAATGTAAAACTATACGACATAACATTATACTAAAGATACAAAAACAAAACCAGATACTTTACTTTTACTTTACAGGCTACTTCAGCACCTCACTCCCATTTCAAAAACTGTTTTGGCTCATGAAGCAACTGGCTGGACTCAAACTGGGAACTTTGCGGTTCTGTTCAGCATCTTAATCCCAAAGATACACAGTTTTTGCATACATTTTGAGGTGGATGGAACATCCCTCCAACATGAACTACAAGTTCAAAAATTGTGCATAAGATTTTAACACTACAACAAAAGATATTTCACTAAATGAATACTAAATCTGCCTACAAAACCTGGCAAGACAATCGTAATTTTCTTGCATGCAAACCAGTGTTTTTTTTTGTAAAAACCCTCTCACGTATTTTACAACAGCACTAACAAAAATTATTTTTATGGGATACTACTAAATAAATGCCTGTTTTATACACATACATTATGTAGATAATTTCCATGAACAGAAATTTGTTTTTCCTATGTAAATTATGAGATATCTTTGCTATTTAATCTACACTCAAAATTATATTACTTACTAAAATTAGCATGAGTGTCATGTGTAATTTACACACTATTGAAATCTTGGCTCAGCTGCGACCTGGCTCAATATAGAGGTACAAGTGTTTTAAATGTAAATCACAATGAAACTGGTGTCCACAGAGAAATTATGCCAGTGGCTCTGCATTGTGATTGTGTGGTGAAATAATTGCAGTGACATATTTCATCATCTTACATTTCATTGTCTTTGAAATCAAATATGATATGCAAGTTGATATGCATGCACTGCTTGGCCCTGCTCGTGTAATCATATGCCATCTTTTTAAAAGTACATTATTAGAAACCTCTCAAGGCCATGACTACCACTGAGGACACTGAGATCACATCCACTCTATCCTATCTGGGTTTGCATGACCAAGGAAAGGTTTAAATTCACTGGCTTTAAACTAACGTTTGAGGGCGTCATGGCAACCTAGCAATTAAGATGTCAAATCCAGCCCTCAACCTTTGTTGCATGCTAGTCTCCTCACTCTGTCCTCACTATCCCCATGTTTAGCCTACTGTTTTCACAATCCATTACCATTGGCTACTTTTAGGCAAATACATAAATAAAGGATTCATTATTTCCATCCTTTATTTCTGGCAGTGTGGAGAGGCCTTTAAAACAGCACTTTTTCAAATTTGGGAAATACAATTTCCAGAAATTATATGAGAATAGTTAACTGAGTAAACATATCGTTTATAAAATTAAAAATAATAATGTTCAGACTTTATTTCTGGTGTCTGGTAACATTTTTCCGTTGCAGAGGGCACGTAAGACTCATGACCTCAGTATTACTAAAATCCTCGCTACGGCCCTGAAACCTGTGGTTGCTCATGGGCTGAAGGTCTTGTGCAAAACAACAACAGTGTTGATGAAAAAAAAAAAAGTCAAAACAAAATTGCATAAATTACTCGTCGGGGAAGCTCGGAAAATTGTGTGTTTACATCGCAAGGCGCGCCCCCGTAACTTCAACACACACACACAGACACACACACAAAGCGCGGGCACGATCATGTACTGTACACTATGTGCGGCTGCTCGCTTGCTTACACTCAGCTTAGGCCTCGACTTGACAGGTGCACAGTTCAACTGTGTGCAACACGATGCACTACGAGTAGTTACCAGTTAAGTAGGAACTCGGTTGGTAGGCAGTTTCTTTGTACTGTCAGTTACAAATAACCGAAAACCAAAAGTGTTGTTTATGTGTAATAACGCGTGCAAGGCGATTTATGTATTCCCGCTTCCGAGCCCACACACCGTTACGGCCTCTAATGTTAACCCCCCCCTCCGTCTCTCTGCTACTACTGAACTTAGCCAGACTCGACACAGGCGTCCACAACATGGGAGAAAACTTACCCCTTTCAGTCGCTTGATGAGTGTGTTTTTCTGCCCGCTTTTTGGAAGGTTTCTCTGCTCCAGAGCGGCTTTCAAATCCGCAACTCGGAGCGATTGTAGAGGTTTCCCATCAAGCGTAATATCTTCGTCCGCCATTTTGCTCCCTCCGCTTGTCTAAACTCCAACAAGCGTCGCTACGGCTGCTTGTCGGCGTCACAGCTCGGCAGTTTCCGGAAAAGCTCGGTCTCTCCGAATCACATAACAGTACCATCGGCACACTTACTCGACAAACTTTATTCTGTGTTCAAGACGACTTTATCCCACTTAAATGGCCCTGGAGTGCGGTCTCTGTAGTATTAAATTCATCATTGTTTCTGGTACGGTATCTATATTTTTCCAGTAGATATGATAAATAACTTATTTTTTTCTTTTTTCTTTTACAATCACAAACTGCAATAAATAATCCAAACACATTTGTTTAATTGCAAAAGTTGTATTTGTGCATTCTGAACAGGAATACAAGACAGACATCAAATGTAGTGTAAAGTAAAGAGGTTTAGGTTTATATTACTGTAGGAGAAAAGTCAAAGATTCATTTCTATACCTCAGCGAATATGGATAACAGACTCATTTGAGTTCACATAGCGTAAAAAACTTTCTTGTACAAAAGAAAATACAGCCATATCTTTAAATTGTAACTTAAGATATTTTTTCCAAAAACAAAAAACAAAAAAAAACAAACATGTTTTGTTCGTTGTAAATCATCAATTACAATCGCCCTGGTAAAGGTTGTACATTTATAAAATCTAAGCAAGTTACAGCCATGCAAACTGGAAAGCAAAAAACATAAACCAAAACTGACCATAATAAATATATATAACTAAAGCTTACATGCCGAACATGCTCTCTTCATACGTGTAGTGTTTTGGCAGGGAGGTATTCATTGGGTAATACTTCAAACCTCCACAAGGTGACGCTGCAGAAGAGACAATGTAACAGCAGGAGAAAACAGTACTCCTTGAAGAATGATTTTAACTGAGCCATACAACTGAAAAAATGATTACGCAATGCCCTGACGATACTGACTTGGATCAGAGAAATAAAACTGGAATATCAGGTTAAGTAATAAGAGTAACGTCAGAGAAGACAGATCCAAAACCTTTATAATCTAACGTTGAAGAGCACCCTCCAGGATCAAACTGGCCATGTGTTTACACAGTTAAGATTTGTAGCGTTAAGTGTGTCAAACAATATGTTTGTTCAACTTCCAGTCTACTATATGTTCCACCACAGCCTCAGACTGAGCTGTCTGTGTGTAGACCATTGCACCTGATGACTGGAATAAATGAAAATGTGCGGTCAGACAATATACTAGTGTCAGATGGAAAAACAGGTATGTGTTTCAATGGATTTAAAATGTGAAATTCTCCCATTTCAATCAAAAAGTAAGTTATGCTTCATTTCACAGTTTCACTCTGGCTCGGCCATATGGTTATTATTATTATTATCATTTTTTTTTATAAAATACTGATATATATCTTGTTATGACAAATGTTAAATCATGATACTGATGTTCAGTACAGTGAACTATGTTCCACTGCTATGCTTTCCATTCATAATGAATTGTGAATATAATAACCAGCCTTAGTTTCTACCACACTGCCTCACAGCAAGGTTGCTGACTTGAACCTATCGGAGCAGACGTGAGTAAGCACTGTTGACAAGCATCTTATGGGAAATGAAGATAAAAAGCATAGAAAGTCAAAGAAACGTAACCATGCAGATCATAACAGGACATGTGGAGACAGGTAACCTTGGTCAGCAGGTTTCCTATCCACTGTCAGGCTGTCATGTGACTGTGGGAAAGAACAGGATTAGGCAATTCTCGCCCGAATGTCATCGCTCACGATTAGTCGCTGTGTCAATTCTTGGATATTACCTCTCTCTATCAGACAGGACTTTTCTGAATTTTTCTTCGTGAGATGTGAAAAACTGCATGAATGTAAATTGAACACATATTGAGAGATGTTTCTTTTAAACCTCAATGAGTGAATTTCAAGCTGTACCACAGCTAATCTTTCCTTGCTAGTGGAAATGGGCAGTACACAAACACAACACACACTTGCAAAGATTTTGGATGGAAGTCGGGCAAACTTCCTACTACACACCCTTTTCCATTTCTCCCATATTAAGCCCAAAACACTTGATATGCTGCTTTGACAGTTTCAGACTGTTAATCACAAAAGGCCTTTCAGGTATCACAGTAAAAAGTAGGCCAGATCCAGGATGTAAGGCCTCCTTCTGTGCTATTTTTGGAATGGGGGGATGGCTAAATAAATAGAGGAAGGAAGGAAAAATGGCTATCATGTGAGGGAAAGAAAATGCGGCAAACATAATAAAGCAAAGCTCCCAAAATAAGCAGTCCACACAGACACTCAAAGCCACATATGGGCTTCAAATATTCAATAAGTTAACACTCAAAAAGACAAGTGTGCCTGGCACGAAAGCACAGAGGTCAGTATATAAACAAAGGCAAACCAACACACAATTGGAGGACAGAACCAGCACAGTCAAAACCCAGCTTAGTAACAGCTGCAGCAAGGCTAAACACTTTCAGGATTCAACTTCACTTGCTTCAATCCCATTGAAACGAAAGGTAATGAAAGAGTCTACCAACAAATAAGGCATCTCAAAGAGAGAAAATATATGTGTAGTGTCAGCAAAGTTTTTACGCAAGTGATATGAAATATCATGACGATATTTCTGCCAGACGCTGGAGCAGAGTGGAGAAGCCAGCCGCTTGCTGGGAGAGCTCAGCGACACGGTCCACCATCTCCTGGGTGGCAGATACTGAGGGGTAGCTTTGTGCAGCGCCCTTTGTTGCCACCACAACTGCCTTCAAGGCCTGGCAGAGACGCCCCCCCGAGGTTGTGATCTGATTGGGAAAAGAAATAAAAACACAATTATTACATGTTTGATATATGAATTATCAGCCTGTTATTGGAGATTAAGACATTTGTCTACCTCAGACAAACTCTCGTGATTTTATACAAGTAACGGCACGAAAACAAAGTGTGCATTGGGATTTCTCCAGATACCTTGGCCCGCAGGTCAGCAGAGGTGAGAAGGCGAGAGAGCGTGTCCCCAATAAACACCAGTTTGTGTGCTGTCACAATGAGACTCTTTCCTCTGGCGACGAAGATGCGGGGCGGCTGGTTCCCCTGCACGCTGCTGAAGAGCACATCAATGGCATCTGCCAGGCAGGAGAGGTGGGCGAGGCTCTGAGAGGAGTAGAAGGACAGCAGCTCCGAGTCCTCCAGGGAGAGAGACACAGGCAGTGGAGGGGACGGGGTCAACTGCGCAAGAAAAGATGAAGCGGAAGAGTCAGGCAACAGTGTCAAATAAGTCACTAACAATACTTTAGTATCTTTATGAGGCTACGTGGTCTTGTGACAAAAAGGTTTACGCTTTGAAACCATGGAAAAACAGCAGGAAAAATCTTATGAGGGGAAAATGAATGACAACCATTGTCTGAAAAAATACACAACAACCACAGATGCAATTCATGCTGTCAGCCATTTAATTACACTACATTCAAATTATTCTTTAGTAGAAGTGGAAGGATTATTCAATTTTCTGCTTCCAGCTTATCCACTGGGAGGATTTAATGTTTTCCTTTGTCATATATATGATATTGAACAGAATGTGTTTAGAGTTTGGACTGAGCAAGATGCGTAAAGACATCACGTTGGACCATGGGAAATAATAACAATCACTTTTAATTTTTCTGACATTTTATGGGGCAAACAATTAATTAAGAAAATAATTACAGATAAATCCATGATGAAAATAAGAATTAGTTGCAGCCCTGCTCTTTTGCAACCGTTTATATCTAACTACTCAATATTAGAGCTTCCTTATGTAAACACATACCAGAAGACTTGCAGACTTCTCAGATCAATTTGCCCAATGGTAAAGTGACTGATTAAGAAACTCTGTAATAGGTTACCCAAAGGTTCTAGTCTGTGCAAGCTGATTTTTACTACAGAACAAACTGTCGGGCTCAATTTATAAAATAATTAAAATACATGCAGTTACTTCATTAACCTAAGCGCGCCAAAACATGAATAACCACTGTAATGGCAAAGTCATTTGCTGAACTTTAAGTCAGTGAAAGTCTGACACAAACACGCACGCATTCGGTACGTCAGCAAGTGTCACTGTTGAAAGAATGACTGTGCTTTTCTGTCACCTATTGTCCTGCAGCATCCAGTCAATGTAAGGCAATGTTGTTAAGATTTACAAGTGACCTCTTGTTGATCGTCTATGGTGTAACCAATGAATCTAGCAAGGAGTAGAAGAAAATGCAGACGGAGCGATAAAAAAGACATGACATCAGTGTCAAGCGGAGGACAGAAGTGACTTAAGAGATAGCATAAGACAAATACATGATTGTAACTTTGATTACGTATGTTGTTACATGTCTCCAGCTGTCGGCTTTGATGTTGGAATCTGATAAAAACACACTCTCCACGCGATGAAGAAGGAGTAAACAGATTCATGAGTCAGAAATCCATAGAGGGGAATCTGACAAAGTTATGCGACGCTAGGTAAACATGGTGAGTATAGCGTATCGAGTGAAGATGGGTTTAGACCAAATGAACCACGGAGGTGCTGCAGTCTGGATTAATGAGTCACACTGCTCATTAGTAAACAGAGTGCACTGTGAACAGAGTGAATCAATGACTTATCTGTGCAGACTTGTGTTTGTTTCTGTACTGCAAATAATTTGAATTACAAAAAAAAAAAAAAAATGACAGCATAGGATTGTGTATGTGGAGGTAAAAATACAAAGAGGAAAGACTCACCCTTGGTTCTGCAGTGATCGTTTGTCCGTTCTCAGCCAGGGCATCAGGAGGTGGCTCAGGTTTACCCTGGTGTGGGAAGGAGAGAACAGTCAGGCGTGTACACAGACACATTTCCAGTCTGTGTATTGATTGTATTGCAACCATAAAACTACACATGCACTTAGGACATAAATTAATTGTTACAAGGAAAGCACATATGTTGAAGCACAAAAACACATCAGAAAATTGAAACAGAAAAGAATGAAAGGTACAAATAAAAAAACATATGAAGATAAATGACTGTTTTTAATCAGATAACTGATAACTGTACTACTGTATAACAATAAATTCATTTCTTCATGAAAACTGACCTGCAGCTTGACATATCCAACACTGTCTCCAGTAGGCACTGGTGCAGGGATGGGAGTCAAGCCGATCCCAGCATACTCGTTGCTGGGATCATCTTCTCCATTAACAGGCCCCACTGTGAGAGTAACAGTTGACGGAGCAGGAGGCAAGGGGAAGGCAGGCTGAGGAGTTGGGGGAAGGGGCCTCTCCTGGATCCAGCTACCTTTACGGGAGCCCATGCCACCTCCAGATGACTTCCCATCAGGCACTGGGAGCGCGGGTAATGGCCTGCGGGACAGGGATTCTTGGGAAGGCAGACGGGGGCGACCCTGAGCCTGCAAAAGGAGGGCACTTTCCTCAAGGGACCGCTGGACCAGTGACAAGAGCCCCTCGGATGGAGGAGCGTTGCCGATAGCGGATAAGGCGGGAAGCAGGTCCGACAGACGAGCCCAAGCCTGCTGAAGAGGCGGTGGAGGATCACCCGAATGACTGGCTTTCCAGGTGGACAGGATTTCAGCCAATGAGGTGGCCAGGTCTCGTGATGACAGAGTGGAGGCCGAGCAGGAGGCTGTGCTCAGCACTGAGTGGACAAGGCTGGAAAGCGAGGCTCTCCACTGAACATCACCTGAACCGTTACTAGAGACAGAGAGACGGCGAGTAGAGGTGGAGGAGGACGAGGAAGAGTGAGGGAGGACTTCAATTGTCAGAGCAGGCATGTCATAGATGCCACAGTCAGGCTCAGAGGAGTCTCGTTTATGATCTCCACTGCTGGCTCGTTTCTCAGGTCCAGGGACACAATACACTTTCCCAACCTGGACAACATCCTCACCAGAAAGGCTGGTGATGGACTCCCCTGGCCCCAGAGGCACACCTGGAAGTGTGGGGACACTGTAGACTTCGTCGTCGACTTCATCAGCCTGAACATCTGATGTGGACACATTCAGGGCGATAGTGGGGACATCATAGACCTACAACGGTGAGACATGAACACAATGCATTCACAATGGGGTTTCTGTGCCAATGACTGAAAATGGTGAACGCGGAGCCTACTTCACTGTGGGTACATAAAATTTGTACCAATAAAATGTCACAATTTGATGTTTAGAAGACTTTAGACATGTTTTAAACCTGGCATATACATGTGAACTGGGTGACCTACAGTCACAGGATCAGACTGAAAGTAAAAAACTATCTGTAAGTAGATGCAACAGAGTCCCTGAGCACCAGTGGGAGAGACACATTTGGACCTTTTAACATCAAAGTGTAAAAGCAGTGAGTCTGCAGTCCACATACAGTAATTGCAGGCAACGATGGAAAAAATTATCCAGCAGCTGGCAGACATGTTCAAGTAACATTAAAAGGGAGACCACGGGGGGTAGGGTAATGGTAGTGGTGTGGCCTTGGCATGGCCCTGACAGATGGGTGTGACTGGGAGAAAATAGAAGCAGCACTTGGACTGGATAGACAGGCTCCCACAGCAGACTGAGACAGGTGTGGCCTTGCCTTAAAGGGGGGCAGGGAGACACACTAATGGTGGAATGTGAGAAGAAATGGTGACAGGGGATTTGATAGTCATCTCTCGTTGGTGAATCGCTTCACTTGTACAGACATGAACACCAGTTTGCCACAGTTCCCAGCTATTTCTTTGGAAATGTATTACTCTGGATTTCTATTTTGCCATATAAATAAATGGAAGATTGGAATTACACACACATCACATATACAGGTGCAAAACTGATGAAACAGTAATGTCTGTACACAACTCCAGATGAAAACTTTTATTTAAATGGCCATTTTGATTAGATATTAGTCAGTTCAAACTTGACCTGAGAAGATTGCAAGGAAACAAAAACATAATAAGATGTTTCCTACTGTAAGGCAACACACACACAATCACACACACACAGCTGCTGTTGTGAACAATTCAAGTATCGACTGTCACTGACTTGACTCTTCAGTGTGAGAGGAGATTAAACAGGACAGACACACACACGACAGATCTGAAAGGGAACTCACTTCTAAAAAAAAAAAAAAAAAAAAAAACACATGGGTCTATCTGTTGCCCAGCGAGGAATGCAAAATAACTAGAGTTATCTTTACCTCTGTCTCAGAGTCAGCTTGTGGTGGGAGACTGCGAGGGGTGTCATAGATGCCATCATCATCTTCACCACCAAGGGCAGATGGGACTGGACGCTGCCACCTGCCACTGGGAGGAGTATCATACACCTACCAAGGCAACAAATACACAAAACCAAATTATGATTGCAAGCCTTGGTCAAGCGAAAGCTGTCAGAACATGCTGTTTCAACAGAGTTGTAAGTGAAGTAGCCATCACATACCTGGTCATCCACTGGATCTGAGTAATCCTGGCTTTCTCCTTTTTTGTTGTGCGCATTGTTGCTTTTCTCCAACCCATTGTTCATCCTTTCATCTTTACTCTGAGAAGTATTTTTCTGTTTGTCCTGTTCTTGCTGCAGGCCTGCAGAGTTGGTCTGAGCAGTGGGTTTGGGGACAGAGTTAGAATCGACTGATGTTGGTGCTGCTTGTAGTGCATCTTTCCTGGTGACACCCCTCACTGGAGGAGCTGGTGGAGGAGGTTTGCGGGCAAAATTTGGTGATCCAGGAACCCTGACCTGACCTGCTCTGACCAGCAAAGGGGATCCCCTGTGACAGGCCAGACCGGGTTTGCCCCTGGCCACAGCAGGGTTGGGTGAAACTCCCTTGAGCAGAGGTCTGGGAGATGCCTGCGCAGAGGATAACTGAGATGGGTGCTGGTGGGCCAAAACTGTGGCTGAAGTCCTGTGAAGGCTTGCTCCCACAGGGGTGGGTGTTTGATACATCCCGGGTGTGTCCTGGCTCACCTTGGACTGGGGGGTACCTGTTGTTCCACTGATTATAGAGGGGCCATTAGAGCAGACAGCAGTAACCACAACCCCTCCTGATGGGGACTGGTAAACATCATCACCTGCAAGTGGTGTACCTTTGGGTACCAAGTAACAGTCATCCGAGTGTCCTGCAGTTAGTGTTTCTCTAGGGACTAAATATGTATTGTCCTCTGGCTCATCAGCCGCCCTCGGCACTCCACTAGGGGAGAGGTACACAGACTCTGAAGCCATGAGAGCTGCAGGCTGCCTGGCATGCTGAGCTGCTGAGGGTATGGGACTTACTGGAGTCTGATAAAGTGTGCCTGTCATTTCTGTGCCTCGCCCTCTGAGAGAGGGCGAGCGTGGACGCCCTGCCACCCCAATATCCCAGTCAGGTCTGGGTCGGGTGCCAGAGCTGGAGTGAGAGCGTGGGCGCCCACCCTCAACTCTGCGGAGCTCCCCTGGCCTTGAGGCAGCTCCCGCTCCTCTTCCCTCACCCACACCTGGCGGGGAGCGATACACTCCATCGATGTCCTCTGCACTACTGCTGACAGCAGACCGAGCCAGCGCAGGACCAGGTGACAGGTAAACAGAGTCCTCACTGGGGCCACGGCGGAGTTCTGAGCCTGGGGGTGGGGCAGTCTGGAGGAGACGAAGGCGGTTGGCAGGGGCAATGCCCTGTCTTCCATGCAGGGAGCAGAGCCACCAGCCTGGCCCACCACTCTGCTCCTGTTCAAGAACCATCAAGATGTCACCTTTCCGGAAGGCCAACTCCTCTGGGCTCTCTGCTGTGTTGTCAAACAGTGCCTTTGCCAATACCGTCTGGGAGGGAGGAGGAGACAAGAGCAGAAATCATGAACACAGACCCACCCATTCAGTAATTCACACACACACACCAAACAGCCATATGAAAGTGGGTTTTAATCAACAGCCTAAATTCACACAAGCTAGTGTCTTACATCTGCACACCACAAACAAACAAGTACATTGACATGGCAATGCTAAGTCAGGAGTATAAAAAGCTTGATTGTTTAGAGCTGTTGAATGGAGAGTGAATAGGAGTGAATTGGGAAGATCTCGTAAAATGTATGTGTGAGAGACAGAGGACAGGAAGAGGATGGGTGAACAAAAAAGATGGCAAATGCAAAAGCTAGCATCATGACTAACTCAAAATTCACAGCTGTGTCAGTAATCAGGAAGCAGAGAGAAAAAGGGGCACAGTCAGGGAGGATCAATGATCAAATGGACAAGGGCTTAATGGTAATGAGGGAGATGAGAGGGAGGGGGAGGGGATGAGAGGCACATCTGTCCCTTGCTGTTTAGGGTTTAATTGCCAACCCAAAGCCAGAGAGTCAAGACCCCTTTCATTTTCTAAACCAACCCCCTGGGGACAACTAGGCTCAGTTGAGCCATGTGGGACCCCCTTAGAACAGTAATGGAGGCAATGACTGTCCAGATAAAATATCTAGATACGGTGAGATAATATAGGATCATAAAAAAATCCCATGCTAATTATTATTTTGTTACAATTTAGTTTTTATCACATTTGTCCATCATTGTGATTGCATTACAAGCATTCATGCAAATTCATACAAACAAAGAAACAAATACTGTACTCACGGAGACAGACATTGTGGATAAATTATCAGTTATGTCTCAGGGAAACTATAACTCAAGCTTCCAGATCAGTCAGGATCATCCATCTAGATCAGCGGTGGTCCTCATGGATGTACTGGTCGCCACAGAGAGTCAGTGCCGAGGCACAGCTGTATCTGGGCAGGACACATCTCAGAGTCCGGGTGCCTCGTCGTCCGCCTTCATAGGGATCCTGCAATCCACGTAGAAACGCTTTTCACGCTTTGTTCGCGACTTATTTATAACACGAGACTCATACAAGATACATGTGAAATGAAAGGTAGGCAGGCAGCGGCAACACCTGTCTATCCTTTCCACGCCCAGTAACGTTACGTTAAATGCAGCCAGTTCAGAAAAAGCTAACGTTAACTTAACATCAAAGATAAATGGGTGGTGTGCACTCTCTATCTAAAATATCATGTATAGCTGGCCACTTAACAACCGCGTAACCAGGTTAAATGATAATTAATTTAAACAGTAACTACCTAGAATACCGTGCGGTATGTTGTCGCGGCCTAGCTACTAACGCTAGCTTGGTGGTGTTAATGTTAGCTATGTTAACGCTGGTTATCTTCTCGTCTTTCGCTGCTAACGCTAACGTTCAGTTCAAAACAACAATGGCACCGCCGAGTAAAAGCGCTAAAGCCGAGTTGTTTCCTAGCCAACGATAGCACCCAAAACCGTAGTCATAAAACAATTACCTTGCTTTTTTCTTATCACCGATAAACTTCGTATCGGCGTACAGTCTATGATACGTAAAATCACTTCTTTTCAAGCGTGAAAATCTGTGGCCATCGCCGTTCAATCATCTTCGGCGATGACAACAAAATGATCTCCGCCTACTCAGAAGTACACGCAGTGCGCTGATCTAAAAGCCTAACCTCAGTGTCAGCGCCAGGCTTTAGACCAATCCAGTATCCGTGAAATCGCACAGTTAGCCGCAGCACGGAGTACAGCGCTTGTCTGATTGGCTCGTTTTTATGGGTTGCGTTTAAGGACCATCGAATTTTTTTTTGCCGTAAATCAGATAACTAACCTCTACATTAAAAAAAGAAACATATGTACGCCCCACTGTTAGTATCATCGATCAATACAGCAAATTTTGCAATTATGTTAAACAAATTCACATTGTTATTTCAACAGACATGGGTGTTATAGTGAATCAAACAACCACTAAATCCGAGTGACTGCTCGCTGGAGGCTTTTATTTTGACAGAAGGACTTCTACCCGGAAAATACAGACTTAAGCGACACATGAACCGTCAGTAGTCCAAGGTCCTGACACAATACTTATTTTAACAAATTCTTCCTCTGTGCAACCTCGTGTTCAATTTTGCACGAACAGCAGGGTGAGATAATGCTCCTGGTCACATTTGTATAATTGCATTATACAAGGTAGCCCACTAGGTAAAAGAATACATTTGCACTGAGTTGTCTGAGTCTGCCTTTGTAAATACCGATCAAGTATTTTATCACTGCTGTTGCCTAAACATGTATCGATAAGTGTATTATAAGATTAGAAGACTGGTGAAAAAGTGGTTGCCATCTTAATTCACTCTTTATTCATCATATCTCAGCTGCCACAGTTCAGGTGACCTCTACCCTAGTTACCCAGTGTTTTCATAAAAAAATATCAGCGACTGTTCTCTGTTCACAGGTGATGTTTAGGAGTGTTTTCAGGTGCCTTAGGACCAACCCTGTTGCTGGCCAAAGAAGTATGTCTCTAAGCAGCCTTGCTGGAAAGGTAGCCATAGTCACTGCGTCCACAGATGGGTAAGAATCATATTAATGACTCCTTTATTACCCATTTAAGATAAACCAAATAGTAACTGAGGAAGTGGCTGTGTCAAATCCCTGTCTGATGCCCTGCCAATTTCTGATATGCAGTCTATACCTTTGCAAAGTCTAGACATTAAGAACCATACTTGAAGGGATCTCAGTATGTAGTAAGTTGCATATCATTTAAAACAGCACATTCATCATAATTGTCATAGGCTTAATCTAATTCAGAGATCCCCTGTCTTGGTGCTCTTCTCCAACTCCTCAGAATTGGTCTGGCAGCAGCTCAGGCTTTGGGAAAGAGGGGAGCCCATGTGGTGGTTAGCAGCAGGCGACAGGCCAATGTGGACAAGGCAGTGGCACTTCTGCAGAGCCAGAGCATCCAAGTGACTGGGACCACATGTAACGTTGGCGACGGAGAAGACAGAGAAAAACTGGTTCAAATGGTGAGTCCCACCCTCAGGGATGCATCAGGAGCATTTATGGAGTCTGGGGGAGTTCTCACATAACATTATAGGATAGTGGACACCAAATTTTGCTGTATATGATTTTTATTAGTTCTTTTTAATTTAATCAACCACTATTATGTAGATCTCAGACAACTGCAACAAGTTTGGGCCCTGGGGCTGAAATACACATAATAATGAGGCTGTAGGTGATTATATTTACTCATAACCTCATCAACAATCGTTCTGTGTTTGGAATAGACTCTGGAAAAGTGTGGGGGTGTTGATATCCTGGTGTCCAATGCAGCAGTCAACCCTTTCTTTGGAAACATCATGGACTCCACAGAGGACGTCTGGGACAAGGTACATAGCAGAAATTAGCTCAAAGACCCATTTATAAAGCTGAAAAAAGTCAATCAGAAGAATTATTTTGATGAGTCTTTGGCTTCTGTCTTTGAACAACAATTGTTCTGCCTACTGTCATTCCTTTTAGTAATGAAAATGATGTATTCAGCCCAATTGTTTTTACTTCTAGATCCTGTCTGTAAACGTGAAATCAGCCTTCCTCATGACCAAGTTGGTGGCGCCTCATATGGCGAAGAGGGGGTGAGTGACAAAAGATTACACAGCTTAATGCAATTGGCAAGAACCAAACAATAAAGACTATAAAACTCTTCACTGTGTTTTAATTTCAAATGCTTTGAAGTGTCTGTATTTTTCTTTTAGAGGGGGGAATGTAGTCTTTGTGTCATCTGTGGCTGGATACCAACCAATGCAGGTCAGTGAGAGTAAAAGTTCAATATTTATCCCATCATTATGATTTCACTTTCCCCCTGTGATTGAGTGTGTGTCTTTGATTCTATGACAAACTGGAAAAAGACTTTTTAGTTTTCATGTATTTATTACATTGTCAGACTGCTAGACTGCTTTAAAGGTTTGAAGACACCATATGTTTTTATGATTATGTTTTTATGATTTTATTCTGTCCCTGCAGGCTTTGGGTCCTTACAGTGTTAGTAAGACAGCTCTGTTGGGTCTGACCAGGGCACTGGCCCCTGAGCTGGCTCAGAGTAACATTAGAGTCAACTGTGTGGCCCCTGGAGTTATTAAGACTCGCTTCAGCTCTGCGGTGAGGAGGAAAAACACATTTCTCTTTGTATCATACACTCAAACCATGTTTTCTTTGTTAATTAACTCTTGATGAATGTCTGTAATATTTTACTTTGTTCTATTCCAGTTATGGCAAAATGAAGACATCATGGACGAGTTCAAAAAGCAGCTCAGCATTAAAAGGTACAGTTCGTATTCACATGGCAACTTGTCACTAATATCCTGTTCTTTGGGTGGATAATTTATGAATACATTTCATATTTTCCTTCAGAATTGGAGAGCCAGAGGAAATTGGTGGAGTGATCGCTTTCCTGTGCTCTGAGGAGGCTTCCTACATCACTGGAGAGACCATCACAGTGACTGGGGGGATGAGCTGTCGACTCTGAGCCTCCACTGGCAACAAAACTAATTTGTACTTAATTTTGTCTGTGTAGATTACTTTTGGCTGTATTTTGATTACTTCCACTATTTGAAGTTTCCGGTGTGATGTTTGTAATATTCTGCTTGAAGATTTCTAAGCAAGATGTAAAAGTTTTCACAAAGTGCTTATCTAAAATAACACCCCACAGATCAGGCAGTTCATCTGTGATAGACTCACATTCAAATTATAAATAAGTGGGAAAATTTCAGTCATTTAACAGCGCATTTTATCAGATAATAAAAGTCAATGTACATAAATTTATATACAATTGAAAAACTCAGTTGTGCCAGGTTTTATAAAACTAATTCACCAAATGCTACCATTAAGTTCAGAGTTCTTTGTCCTTGTGCCATTACCTGGATAGTTTACAAATGTGATCCAAGGGACACTTTAAAGTAGTTAATGAAATATAAAATAATGTACAAAGTGACAAAATATGATTGCAACACAAAAAACCTTTATTAATTGAACATTACAGTTCATAAATGTTTATAAAAAAGTACTAATTTGTAACATAATGTCTAATCTTTATTTACAAAAACTGTACAGTAACATTTTAAAGTAACAAAGTTTTCTTTGCATGATATTGTCAATAATCAGTGTCAGCACCATTTCAGGGCTTGTTTTCTATGATTACACAACTTGAAGTTGAAATTAGATGGATCAGCTGAATTCAGCTACAATCACAACATAATACAAGAGAAAGATAAAAAAAAAAAAGTCTGTCAGCCACAGTGGCTGGTGCATTTCAAATGATTTGTGTTATTTATTCAATGTACTGAAGCTGGTGGAGAAATCCAGCTTTTCCACAGTCCGAGTCATCTGGTATTGACAAAACGTGGCATTGAAAATCTATGTTATCATCTGCGTTTCCTGCCATCAGACAGCAAGTCCCGCCGTGCCATCCCAGGTTTCCAGAACTCCCTCAGAGTGGGAATGTATGTGCCGTGTTTGGTCTTGTAGTAGCGCTTTATGAACAGCTGGTGGAGACAGTCAGTTAAAAAACATGAGACTGAAATATTAGTGCAACTGTAACAGGAAAATTATTTATTGAACCAAAGACTTTTCAATAACTTGCTAGTTTTCTAAGGCTTAAAGTCCTTCGCGATACAATATGATATTTGTTTGAAATTGCCCTTGAAAACCCCGTTTTCTCATTTGAGCATACATACCCTGCCTTTGAAGTTCTTTGTCGCCTCATCCTCAGAATCAGCGACGTAGTCTTCAACATCTCCAGGACGGCCCAACATCTCTAAACATGAAAGTAAACAGTTTAAACCTGCAGGTGATTGTTCATAGTTTTTTTTTAAATTCTTGTGTTTAGTTTACATGATTTGTTAAATCACCTGCATTGCTCTGCAGTACGGGAGAGCTGCTTACACTCGGTAATACAGGATGATTTCTGGTAAATAGAAACAACATATTTAACCATTAAGTCATAGTTTCAATAGCTGGCAAATAGTGAATGTAAAAAGACAAGAAAATTATTCACTAAAATGCATTGATCTGCTTTAGCATGACTGTTTATAATGCAGGTCTAAAGACAACTTTCTCTTCATAGGACATGCATTTCTAGGGTAATTAATATAGGGTACATGCATATTTAAAAAACGAATGCTATCTCACAGAGAGACAGACAAAACAAACCAGAAATACTGAACTAAATCTGTTGTTTTTAGTGTTTTTCTAAAGACTGAAACACCTTCTGCGGTGCTAGAGCACTTTCTCCATTTATTTTATACAACTACATGTGTTGTATGTCCTACTATCCTCTTACAAGGTCAACTAAAAATGTCTGATTTTGAAATTTGAAATATCAGCAGACCAGAATATCTTTTTACATTCATAATTTAATCAAATTATTCTTTACAGGAACCCAAGACAGACGAAGAGAAGCTAGTTAACAAAATACAGCAGGAGGGGTTTTTAAGCTTGAGGCTGAACACACACTTGAATACACACTTGAAATAATACAAAGGCATACTTTGCACCATGTGTCTTACTCTTTATCATCCAAGCCAGAAATGTCCGAGTCAGGCTTTTGAAGTTGGATGCTCATGCTTTTATGCACTGGTGTTTTGACTGGTGACTTCCTCTGTTGAGTGTGCTGTCCCTTATATATGGATTTTCCTCCTCTACCACTGGTGTTGTCACTGGCAGAAGCCACTGACATTTTTTTGATAATAACTCTTGGTTGGCAGCTCAGACAAGACACAAAGATGGAGCAGAGGGACGGATCATTGGGCAGGTTGAGGGTTTTGACACCCACCTGGGTCAGACAGGTTGCCAGATCTGCTCTGTTAACCTCCTTGTTTCTTACGGTTTTGTCTTCTTCACCCTCATTTGTTCTCTGGTCACATCTACCATGACTGACCCTGCTTATGCTCTTTTTCCCAGATCTGGCCACGCCTAACACGTCTTCCTCCTCCTCCCCCTCCCCCTCCTCCTCAATTTCACTTTGTCTTTTGTCACATTGCTTGCGTTTCACTCCTCTGCTTCTTTTTGAGGCGTTCCCCTCCTCCTCCAGCTGTTCTTCCCCCGCTTTCACTCCGTGATCACTGGGTTTTTGTCTCTGTTTAACCACAGTGAAATTCAAGTTCTCTTTTGTTTCTGAGCTCTTCTTTGTTGCATCTTTTGAGCTGCCTGGCTCCTCACCTCTAAGTGCGCTTTTTCTGGCAGAGATCATGATTGGCACATCTTCATTAGATATTAGTCCGATAACAGGCGTAATAAATGGTGTTTTGTCTCTTGTCTGTGTGCCTCCAGACTGGTCCGCAGCAGACGTTTTGGCTCCTGTTGGTTGATTTGAAGGTACTCTTCCAGACGGTGGCAGAGAAAGTGAATCCAGGATGGAGTCTCCCATGTTTGGAGGGAGGGATGCTGTGAAAAGCAAACAACACAATGGATAATTAGAATTATTAGGAATCTGCACCAAAAGTCTCGCTGTCACAGTTGTTTTAGTTATCTCCTTCTAACCTGCTAATTCCAGGTGACCGAGACAGCTTTGATGTTGCAGCAAAATGTTGAGGAGCTGAGGCTGGGTGGCTGACCGTGCACACTCCTCCAGCACAGGTGGGGTATCACTGAGCCATGACACAGTCTATAAAGTATAGAAACTGTGTTAAAGCAGTACTGAAAAGAGCAATACATAAATTTGTTTATAACAAAACAAGGGAGGCCGATCTCAAACACAATCACTACCTGAGTTAAGTTGGGAACTGGAAGCAACTGATCCAGTCGAATCAAAAACTCCCACAGCAGCTTCTCAAGTTCCTCATCAAACTTTGGACCATAATCCACAGGAAACTCCACCTGTCAGAAGAAAGAATAAGAGTCGTTGGCCATTACATCCCTGCGTACATCACCTGAACAGAGACTAAAACGATTACAAGTGTGACTTTGGAGGAAAGGGTCTCACCTTGAAGAATTGTTCTCTCTCTTCTGGGTCTGTTAGCAGTGTGTGAATCAATGAATGGAAACTTTCGACTGTTCTCATGATTTTTACATCCTTCCTCTAGGAGACAAAAGGGCAAAAAATTACACTGTGTATCACACTCATATCAACATTTGCTTTAACATTATAATCAATCAGCCAATTCTTTTGGAATTCCTACAAATATTGAAACACTGTGTATAAGTGGTGAAGCAGAAAGATGATAGAGACATATTATTCACACTGTGACATTATAATGACATGATATTCTCTGGGACTGTGATTATTGTAAGATTATAATACATCTTGAATTGTATTATTTAATTTAAGTTCAGGTTTGTCATTTCCTGACCTTAGATGAATGTTTTGAGTGAATGGGTTTCAGTCTGATTCACCAAATGCATTACAACTGATTTTCATTACTTAGTCTGTAACTCTGTCCTCTACTTTAAGTATTTTATGAATGCACATTGTAATATTATCTGTATTAAGGTATACGGTCAAAAATAATGTGGTGTTTCATTCTGTAATAATCTCCCAACTCGTGTGAGATTCTGAGCATTAAATATAATTTACCACAGTAGCTGAGGACGATGAAGGGGCAGCTGGAGCTCGGATCCTCTTCAGGTGAGGCTCAATCACCTTCACATCAGGCTGTGTACAGCACAGCTCCAAGATCAGCTGAAAAGAAGGTGGAGGACAATGAATCACGCACTACATATACACACCAAGCCAGGAATATGATGCTGAAACATAGAGAGAGACAGACTGGTATCATGGGAGTCACACATTTTAAAGGCTGATTTCTCTTCTCCTGTAAGACTCACCCGTCCTCTCAGTCCCAGTGCCAGCTTGCCTTGGTGTCTCACGGTGAGCAGCCCAGGGACAGACTCACAGGCCGATGTCACAAACTCCTCCACAACCCCATACTGCATCACGTCCCTCTGCTTCAGCACTTTCCAGAGAGCTGCAGACACCAGACGCACAGGCGGGGCCAGGAGCTGAAGTGCAGCAAAAGGAAGGCTGACATCTGTGCAGGAGACAAAACACAGGTTACTGAGTCCATTCAATTAACTGAATCATGCAGGGTTAAAATATCCTGCTGGTCTCCGTGGATTGATGCTTTCAATGTCGCGCATCCCAACCCAACCCAACCCAACCCATGATGCTAATACAGCAGTCTGCCATCAGCTGTCAAACACATTGATTGATCTAACGTTACCCCGCTGTGTCATGCCCCAGTTTAAACATAGCTATTATCTTAACACTTACCAGGTTCCTGTGGTTTTCGTGTGGCCATTCCACTGAACCAGTCAAGAGCAGCAAAGCCAGGGACGTTCACTGACCAAAAGTTGACGTTAAGAAACGAACGTTAGCTTAGCAGCTTAAACAAACTGCTCCCGGACTAAGCTTCAACAGAACCGACAAGGAACCAACAGTCTACTCAGGGCAAAGTTGTTTATAAAATGCTGCCGGGGTGATGTTTTAACTCTGGTGCAGGCTGGTATATGACCACATCCCAGTTTCGCTATCGCTGTTGTTGTTTACCCGCTAGAAACAAAGCTAAAGAGGCTCCTACTGAAAGTTCTGCTTCTCATCCTCCCGCCTTCACGGGAATCATGTCAGTCGCTCAATTCTTCACCCTGGGTGTCCCGGATTGGCGGAGCTTCAGGGATTGTGACTTAAACACATCGGCTGAGAGGAGGAAACTCCGTCCACGCGTGCACTGCAATAATTTAAACAATCGTACCCAGTGTCACTATCCGGATATGGCGTGACGTGACTCGCCCGCTGTACGTCTCTTTTATTTATTTATTGTCATTTTTTAATCTATTTATTTGTTGTTTTTTAAATAAAAAAAACAAACAATAATTTAAATCTTTTTTGTTGAAATTTTATCATTTTTTTTGATATGTCTGATTGTTTGTAACATTTCCAATTCATATAAAGGGGAAAAAATGATTTGTTTATCTATTAACAAAAATTGTATAAAAAGAAAAGAAAATGTTTTAAGAAACAAGATGGGATGTTGTGAAGAATATGAGCAAATTTATGGAGCATGGGAATATAAAATATTTACCAATAATTATAAAATAAAAAACAAGAAACTAAGAAACATGTGAGTACCACTGTCAATAGGTGTCCATATTAGTTTATATTCCTACAATGGTCCTAAAATTGCTTTGAATATTATAAAAATAACATATTAAAGTTGTTTTAACATTTACATCGCTCATTACAAGGGCCTCAAAAGCCCCAGGTTTACCCCTTATCAATCTTTTTATTGTTTGATTCCTCATCATTAATTAGGAATTTGTACTTGAAGTAGTGTATCAACTGTGTCCCCTTCTTTGTGAAGGACCCTGTCAGGACCCCATCAGTTATATATATATATATATATATATATATATATATATATATGTCAGCCAATAAGTAGCCTAACAAGAAATTGCAGTGCCACAGTCATATGTCTGAAGTTACATCTGAAGGCATTTAGAAACAGAGCTCTGATAACTATATTTTTCAACTGTAAAATGTCCCAGTCACATACACTGTGGTCACAGTTTTTAAAAGAAAAAAAAAACAAATATAGGGGAAACTGTTTATCTATGTTACATGGTCATTTAAAAACATCACTATCAGAATTTTTTTAACTTTTAAATATCAGAATCAATATCAGCCTCAAAATCTAGTATCAGTCGGGCTATAGAGGTAATAAATCTGTTTTGTCAGATGAAGAAAATATCGTTCACATACACGCACACAGGCCAGATGAACTTTGTCCTGTGCTGTTCTGTATGTGAGTAATCACCAGGTTCATAGCAAAGTCCAGTTGCTGGATCAAACACAAGAACTACTGACCCCATACAACAGAGTAACGCCGTGAGGAGAGACAACCAGACAGTGAGAAGAATGGATACCACATCTTCATTTCTCAAGTAAGTAAAGCATTAGTTTTGGTTTGTTGATATTTTGTGGATTTGTTTCAACGTCCTGTAGCTTGATCACGAAAACAAACAATCACCAATTAATGTAGATTAGATATATTTGAAATAAGTAATTAACTCATTGATATAATATGTAATTCTAAGATATCTTATATTATGACATTTTGAAGTCTCATCCTGTTATAATGGTGAGAGAACAGATAACAGCGCTTTCAGTGAGATATGAAAAACAGGATTTGAAATATTTGCTGTTTTCACCTCAAAATAACAAGTAAAACAAAAGAAAAAAGAAGTGAAGTCTGATTGAATGTAGAAAAACCTTTGTACAGGAAAAAAACAAGAAGAGACAAGGGTTGAAAATTTGACCTTTTTCACATAAGACATCTAAATATGTCACAGAAAGAAAAGCAAAGGTGTAAATAATAAAATGAAAGATGGCTGAATTTAATTCAACTGCTTCAGTTTCAGAGTCCTGGTATTATTCATGCTGGCTCACTGTCACACTGTCATGAATTATTGAATAAAACAGAGCCATCAGAGCTTTTCCTGCTATGTCAAGTCAAAGTGTCTGCTGGGATTATGTCTATTAAATGGAACCCAACACATTATATAATTTAATTACCTGTCTGTGTTGTCTGTCCTCAGATCAGTAACCAAGCGCGTGTGGTCTGCACCACAGCGCCCTTTCAGAGTGTGTTGTAACAACAGGGAGACCAGGAAGGGAATCACAGCTGGGACCCTGGAGGAGCTGAAAGAAAGGGTGAGAGTGTAAAACAAAAGTAAGAAAAGATGAAAGAATGAAGCATCAAAACTTAAGTTACTTAACAAAGAAAAAAAATTCAACTAATAGTGTTTCATTAAGTTGATTGAAAGATAATGGTCTCAGGCCTGCTGGCAGGATGTAACATTATCTCAAGGCCCTGATAATGTCAAATAATTGATCATGTGAGTCAAGTCATGAGTCAAGGCTGCACTCGAGCTGGTGTACAGACATCTGCAGTGAAGCTAAGAGCCAGACTGAATAGTAATGCTGTATGCTAGGGTTAATAAAGACCATGAGTGCAACAGACTTCAAATTTCTAGTCAGTGTGATAGAGAATACATTTTAGTTTTTTACTCTCTGCATGTTAAGTTATTCAATGCTGTATGAGTGAAATTATAATAAAGAAAAGTGGATTTATTCCTGTTTAGGACAGCAAAGCTTATCTTATTTTTATCCAGAAGGCTTTGTGGGTGTGACACTGACTTTACTCTGTGCTGTAGGTATGCCAGGCGCTGCTGCTGTCCCTGTCTGCAGTGTCTGTGTGTCTGGTTTGTGAAGACGACGGTACAGAGGTAGACTCCGATGAGTTCCTCATGACGCTGACTGACAACACCATGCTCATGGCCCTGGAGCCCGGGCAGACATGGAGACCACAGCCGGTACGTTGGGTACTGATTTAGGGCTCCTCGGGGTTAGGACAGGCTGTCTATAATAATATTGATTATTGCATGCAATATTTAATATATGTGACCGTCGTTGCTGATCCTCCCAGGGTGCAGTCATGCTCAAATCCCAAGACCACAACAAGCCTCGGACCGGGAGAGACATAGCTCGTGTCACCTTTGACCTTTACAAGATCAGCCCAAAGGATTTGTTTGGCTCCCTGAGTGTGAAGGCCACATTTCAAGGCCTGTACTCGGTGAGCGCTGACTTCCAGTGTCTGGGGCCCAAAAAAGTCCTCAGGTAAGGCAAAGGGAAAGTGGTGAATCTCATTATAGAAAAGTGTCAGTAGAAAATGTTCTTGACAGTTTATCTCGGTCCTGTTTTTCAGGGAAGCCCTGCGCATGGCCTCCACTCTCCTTACGGCTGCTGGACACCTGCTCATCACATCCGCCTCCATGATCCGTCGCATTATTGAAGGTGCTGAGTTTTGGCAGCCACAGAGGACGGAGTACACAGCCAGCTGGAACTGACGGAGCCGAGAGAGACCTGGGTCTGATATCATAGTTGATTTAAGAACTGGTAGGTTTGTCTGAGATGTACTGAATTCATTCTTATCATTAAGCATCTCATTCAGTAGCCATTGTATTGTTTAACTGATCTGATGTTTACTTTCCTTAAGATGAGGATAAAAAAACATGAACATGTTAAAGCGATATCTGTAAATGTCAACAGTGATAATTTTATATAATGTGAGCATATGACTGCGCACCATTTTCTACCCTTTAATGTTTCGCCTGCACTTTAGGTTATGAACAGAATATATTAACAAATCTTTAGTGTCAAAGACTGTCTTTGGTGACAGCAGAGGGGGCTTAGTAATGATAGTGTCACAGCTATTAAAGTTATTTTTCTCTTTTTTGTGCAATATATTCTACATAATATCCTGGGATTGTACTATATCTTTGTTCATTTGGTGTGGATTATGATTGTCTTTCTATCACAGACAAACCACTCTAAAATTATGTGGTTATTGTTATTTTGATCTGAAACATCGTCTCCTTTGAAAAATGAAATATTCATGTACTGATATGACAAAAAAAGGTTGTTCATTTTGTAGTTTGTGAATGTTTTGATGTAACTAATCATAAGACGAGTCACGTTCGAACAACAAGCAATGAAAGCGCTTTACTTGAATGACAATAAAAACATCTGCACAGCATAAAGGGGACTTGTGGATGTAAAACTGCATCTGGATTGCAAATGAGTCACTTTTTGGAAATACTGTGCATGTATGTTAACGAACATGTTAAGTAATCAACAACAACTAACAGTAAGACAACACTAAATTCAAAATAAAAGAATAGGGAGGGAACTTAGCAAACTTTTAACAAACACTTGCGTGAAAAAAAAAGTTCAACTGCATGCCAAACAGCTTGACCCTAAATTACTAGTAATTCACAAATTGTAAAACATTTAATGGCTTCTGATGCATCTTTCCAAATGATAAGAGGTGATTCGTCTTCATTCCCTTTAGTGGGATATTAGGTGGAGAGGCTGTGGCATCGTTTCTACTGTAGAGGCACCTTCATACTTTCATCCTTGCCAGAGCTTTTGCTCACAGGCTTCTTCCTCCTGGTTCTCCTGCCCTCACTGGACTGTGCCTTTACCAGCGCATTCACATACTGCCAGTACCTGATGTTGGCCAGCGCCCGGCTGTGCTGCTCCCGATTCAACCAGGTGGGCTTCCCTTTCTTGACATAATAGCGCATGTCACCGAACCACTTAACCAACACGTACCGAGGGATGCCGATCAACATCGCCAGGCGGTCGTAGTCCTCGCTCTTTGGATACTGGCAGCGAGCGAAAGCAATCTTCATCATCCTCAACTGACTCTGCGACTTTGCGCTGCAGTGGACCGGACTGTGAAGGGTGCATGCGTCTATCACATGAGAGGCCTGCTGTGGGTTGAAGGTGGATGAACTGTCGACAACAGGACTAATGGTCAGGAGCTCCTTCAGTTTGCCAACATCAGTGACGAAAATGTTGTTTGTTAACTCTGCACTGACTTCTCTCTCTAGCCTAGTCTCCATTTCTGGTTTCCCCTCAAAACCGCTGTTTACAGTGGTCATACCGGTATAGCGGGTGGGAGGGGGAATGACATCAACTCTTTCCAGCACTTCTGTCTGCTTGTCACTCAGTGGAGGTACATTAAAGAGCAGAGGACTCACATCCAGGGGCTCATCAGGCACCACAAAGATCTTGTCAGCAGGCCACTCGTTGACAGACATCAATTTGTTTGCTTTTTCCTTCTTCGCTCTGGTGGGACGTGTTCTTTCTGACTGGATGGATTTTTGTGCCTCCCTCTCGACTTGATCACCTCTTTCTAAATCTCCAGCTCTCCCCACAATACCATCATTGCCTTGCTTCATCCTCTTCTTTCCCATTGTGTCGGGCACTGCCATCCTTTTCCGCCTTTTCTGAGTATTCCTTTTGTCTCCCTCAACTTTCGCCACTTTTATGTCTTTATTCATCAGTTGCTCCTGCACCATGTTTCTCTCCAATCGCTTATTAGCCCTAACACTTTCTCCCATCATCCTTCCCTCATTTGCACCCTGTTCCTCCCTGACCTTTCCTTCCTTCTTCCCGTCAGATGCTTTTACCTCTCTCCTTTTTTTCTTCTTCTCTCTTCTTTTCTCTTTTACCACTTCCCCCATCCCGTTTTGCAGATCTTGCTTTCTCAGAGCCTTTCCCTCACTTGACTTGAACTTCTTCTGAACCTGTCGAATGTCTTTATAGTCCCAGCTGATGCCATAGCGGAGTCTCTGTGCCATGAACCACACCTTCACTTGGTCTGGGTGCAGGGAGCAGCGCTGCGCCAGTGCAGCTGTCTGTTTCTGTGTCAGGTACGGGAACATGTCGAAGGCCTTGTCCAGCTCCGCTGCACCATCCAGCTGTACGTCAATCTGGTTTGAATGCACCCATATAAGCTTCTGACTCTCAGAGAGCAGGGGGAGACACACTGCACTGTTTTGGTTCATGTTGAAAGGCACAGGGGTGATGTTAATTTCTGTTGGAGTCTCTCCACAAGCGTCAGCCGTGTTTTGTCTGAGCCTTCCATCAGCTATATGCCTCATCTTCCTCATCTGTTGTAATTCCTCCTGTGAGGAGCAGACAAACAGAAATGGTTCATGCCAGAAACATCATACATTTTAGGGGAAATAAGTACGCCTATTCCCAAATTCTTTAAAAAACTATTGAAAGACAAAAATTGAAAGGTAAAGTGTAAACATTTCCATCTTGTTCTTAAATATCTCATGTATAGGTGCACCAAACCAACCTGCTAGGTATCTGTATTCAACTGTAATCAAAGCTGTATATCACTAAAACAGCAGACTATCATTTAAGCACAAGTTTTGTAAAATCGGAATTAACTGAAATTAATTGAAGCTCTCAGATAGTAAACGAAATTTTACATATAAAAGAGGTTAACTAGCTAGAAGGATAACGTACGTAAAAACTGCCTCATGTTGACTTATGTTAACTTAGACACTGAATACACAACGTTAGCACGGAAGGAACAAGTTTTTAATTAGCATTATTTTAGGGAGAAATTCATATCGACTTACCAGCTAACTCGCGCTAAAGTTCAACCTCACGTTGGTTCTTACCATTGACAAACATACAGCAACTTTAAATGATTATTTGATTGATTGACTGACTGACGTTGGCGCTAATGGTAAACACATCAGTTAGCTAACAGTGCACAGGACGGGTTAGCTTGGTCAGTAGCTGTTTCAACACACTGAATTTAGCAATTGTTTCTTAAACTATATTTATATTTTTATATGTAAGTATCAAGAAATTATAAAGAACTTCAGTTAATCAAAGACTTTTTACTACCTTCACATAAAAACCGCGCAATGGATCCAGTCACATTAACTCTGCTTAAATTGGAGTTTTTTTTTTGTTTTTTGTTGTTTGTTTTTTTTCTTGTCAGAAATGCAAAGTCAGTAATCTCATATTCAGGATTATTTTCAATATAATTCCATCCATATATAATACAATGAGTGTGTGACTGTTTTGGTTATCACTGTTATTTGGTTTCAAGTACATTGTGTAATAGAACATCTAAAAGCAAAACGGGGACCCTGGGACAAAATATTATTAAATGGTAATTTGGTCTCATTTGTGGCAGTTTAGATGTGAAAAAGTTTGAGAATCACTGATGAAACAGGTTCAAATTATCATGTGCTTTTTTATCTACATTTCATAGCTTGTCTGTCTTTTATTACAAGTCCTTATGTCTTTCAGACACGAACAGTCACACTAACATGCGTTCACCACTCCCATGGGTAATAATAATGTCCAATGTGTGAAATGAAACTTAACAGTACGTTATCGCAGCGCTTCAAAATCTTTGAGTCCACTCTGTGAATGCTTGACTTACTTACCAGAAAACGAAACTGTTGAGCAGTGCTGCTGTGGCCAAGTGTTCAGACAAAAGACTGAGAGATCAGAAACGGGTGAACAGCTGAATTTAGCCAAATCAGACTTCATTTTCAGTCAGACACAGTCAACCAAAGAGCAAGAATTAGGATCCTGTGGACTTTCTTCAACGCTTTTTCAAGTAAATTCAAATCAGGATTTCCTCTTTTTGAAAACATGTCTGACAATCAACAAAAGGACGTGCAACAAGTAATCCTCTGCGACATGTGTATAGAGGACAGGAAACCAGCACGGAAGACCTGCATGAAATGTGAGATCTCCATGTGTGTCCAGCACCTGCAGGCCCACCTGACCACACCTGTGTTACTACAAACTCATCCTCTGACTGAACCTATGGCTTTATGTGGCACCACTAAATGCCCCCAACATGGAAAACTCCTGGAGTACTACTGCTTGGATGACATGACCTGTGTTTGTGTTTCCTGTGCCATTGAAGACCAGCACCGCTTACACAATATGAAGACCTTCTCCACCGCCCACAAAGATCTCATGGAAAAGCTTGAAGGTGAGAAGAAGGCCTTACTGGTGAAAACTGATGACGAGAATGTGAGTCTGGAAAAGTGGGAGAAGAGTGAAAGAGAGAAGCTGGGTTGTTCTAGTGTGCGTCTTATTGAGGCTGTGACTAACCTGCGTGATATTTCACTGACCAGCATCCAAAGTTCAGTCTCTGCTCGTATGGTGGCCATCAAAACCAGCAAGAGCAGCATGCTAGCAGCGCAGAACGAGAAGGATACCTTCAGATTCCTGCAGATGTATTCACAGGTACACCAGGATGTGGAGAAGGCCAAGGCTGTGGATCTGAGAAAAGGGCTGGAGCCTGGCAACGATCGTGACAAACTAGTCCAGGAGATCAGACAGAATGGTGAAAAAATGGTGAAACAAGCAGGCCATTTCTGGGGAGCTCTGTTGACTCTGGTCGATCCAGAAAACCACCAGGAGCTCTTCACCACTGGTTCAGACCTGATCTTTGAGCCGCAGATGTTTGGCCCCAGCATTTCACTGTCTAAAGACAACAAGAAGGTTTTCTACAACAGTTGGATGGGGCAATGCGCTGCCACTCTCCTCATCCGTAGCACCCAATCGATTCCTAACTATCAGAGGTGGCTGGTCAGTCTTCCCAAAGAGTCTGATTGGATCATCGGTTTCTGTGACAAAAAGTCTGCACAGAACTTGAAGGGTGGACCTGTCTACGGTCTTTGCTGCAAAGATAACCAGCTCAGCTCTCTCACGACAGAGTATGATGATAATCATGATGCATCAACCAATTCAAAAGCTTTTGGGATGCAGACAAGTGAAAAGACCAAAACAGAGAAACAACACAGGGTTTCCACTGCATTAATCACACATCAGGGGGTAAATGGAGATGAGGCCGTACCACGACCTGAAATGGTGGAAGTGTTTTGGAGCTTTCTTTCTTCCTCCCTGTCGTTCTTCAGAAGAACCGGACAGCACCAGAGGGAAGAAATACTCACAATTAAGATGTGTCTTAACAAGTGGAACCTATCCCCCTTTGTTCAACTGGGACCAGAAAATGCCCAAAATAGCGGAGATTGGTCCAATCAGCAATGGAGGTGCCGCTGTGGGAACAGTCATCACTGGGATGTCAATAGATACAAGCAATCAATGTCCCAGCAATCTCAGAGGCCTAAATGTTCCTGTGGAGAAATTATTGGTGGCCGGTTCATCACAGAGGTGGTTTGTGAGCTTCTGTAATTGGTGGGACCTCACTGATCATTGCTAATCATTACACAAAGCTAAGAAATGCATGAGTATAAATCTTACTGATTAGTGTTAAGTTGATGTCTAATGAAAATATAGTGCTGTCAGTGCAAGTATCAGTAATAAGCCCATGAGTTAATTAGTTTGTTTGTAGTGTTGCTTGCTAATGTACACAACAATGTTATGTTTATACACACATATATATATATGTGTTATATTATGATTTAACTCTAATGCTTCAACTTTTTTCTGCCTGCCAGTTCAAGTTGTTTGTCTCCATCTACTGGTGGTGAACGCGTCATTGCTCTCAAATATACAGGCTCTTCCAGCGCTTTGGTCTTTAGTCAGAAATGCAACAAAGAAATCTGTGGCTCTTGTATCATATACACATTGTGAATGATCCAATCAATAATAAAGCCAGTAAAATTTTAAAATGTGGAATGTTTTTATTGACTGGATAAAAGGTTTAATTTTATGTTTTGCCAACATAAAAACATCATTTCCGCACCAATGTGACAATACAAAATGAAACAACATGGATCATGTAAGAACAGCTTGAAATGGATTTACTTCAGACCCGATGCTGTGTGAGGTGACACCATACCCAATACTTACGGTGCAAAACTTCCAAGGCTAATTCAAGGAATGACCACTTGCTTTAAAGGCTATGAATCATAAATTCAGTGGGCTCACACAAACATGTATGGTATGCATCAGGAGAAGCTAGAACCAGAGAACAGAAAAGTGGCACATTATAATGAATAACACTTCTGCTATGAATTTAGTCTTCAATTACTACATACTGCACGCGCCCTCATACTGTACTCGCATTCAGCGTCCACCGGTTCATATAGAAATTCTCCTAAATCTAATTCACCTGCTATTAAAAAAAATTTAATTATGCAAGATACATATGCAGCAGTAGGTGAAATAGTGTCAAAACATTTCCATGAGACAATAACAGAAACTAAATATTAGGCTCTCAAATCATTAAAGTGCAAAACATCACGAGTGAGGGAATGATTGCATTTTTAAAAACAGTTTAGTTTCCCAATTAGCCACAGCAATCACATACCTATTTAGGCTTTCTAAATAATTTGCTATAGTTTTATATGTGGGTGACAAAGACAGTATCTCAGCACAGAGCAGAGACATGTTGTAGATACTGTTTATAGACAGACACTTATGTGCATACATGTAAAAAGAACAACTAAGGACCTTGCATTGGAATGATGAGACAGCAGACACGCAGGGAGCTGAAGAGTTACTGCTGCAGTTTAGATCTTACTGTGTAGAGACACTGAGACCTGAAACACTCTGGGAATTGTAAGAAAAAATTAACATTCAGAGCGTAAAGCGACTCGGAGTCTGTGTGCTTAATATACTACAATTGCATTGAAATTACAACTTGAAGAAAATGTCTCCTCGTGTTAAAAATAAGGATAAAAAGGACAGTATTTAAGTATTAATATATACGTCTGTTCACTTGTGTGTACACATGGTTAATGCACAAACAGCTTGTAGGGAGTCAGACAGGCAGTGATGCAGACTTATCCTTCGATCTGAAGCAGGATCAGCACATTCAGCTGTCATTGCCAAAGACAGTGTTGAGCTGCTGGGTGACCCTGATGAAGGTGGTCCTGCGGCTCAGCTCCTTCAGCTTTGCTGCCCCAACATAGGTGCAGGTGGAGCGGACCCCGCCCAGGACGTCTCGTATTGTCACGTCCACCGGACCTTTGTAAGGAACTTCAACTGTCTTCCCCTCTGATGCTCTGGATGGAAATAAAAAAACAAACACAACATACAAGCATTATCCTCAGGAGACAGTGTTCATAACAATCATCAATGCACACTGTGTGTTTAGTGATCAGTACTGACAGGAAAACACCCATCAACATAGAAGAAAGACACTTCTGTGACTCTGACCTGTACTCAGCCACACCGCCTGCATGTTTCTTCATCGCTGTGTCGGAGCTCATTCCATAGAACAGCTTGTATTTCTTGCCGTTTTTCTCAATGATCTCGCCCCCACTCTCTGAGTGACCTGCCAGCATACCACCCAGCATCACGAAGTCTGCTCCAGCACCTGAGAGTCGCATTTAAAGAGCCAAACAAAGTTTTAACAGAAATAATTCTTGCTATGGCTGGAATTTGAGTTCAGCTTAAGAAAAACAACAACTAACCAAAAGCCTTTGAGACATCCCCTGGGCAAGTACATCCCCCATCCTGTGTGAGAGAGAAGAGAGGGGAAAAGACAAAACAAACATGTGATGAGAGTGACTATCATGCTGCATGTGTACAGTCTCTTATCTTAGCTTAAACACTGGACACAGTGGGAAACAGCTACAGCTGTAAGTTGTGTAAACTGTACAAAGAACAAAGTGTGAAAACGACAATTTGTTGTTTTACAGTTAACTATGTATCAGACTCTTTCTTGGTCTGTTGCAGTAATTTCCTGGCGTCTCCACGTGTTGCCATGGTGACAACAAGCCTCCAATAAGTTACTGCAACCAGCCAAGAAATAGTCCAGTCCAAAAAGCCCAGTTTTGAAAATGTCAAACTATTATTTTAACATAATTCTGCACAAGCAGAACTGTGTAGAACTTCTGATTATAGAATAACTATAGAAGAGAATCACTTACAGAGATGATGTGGCCGCCCAGTCCATGGGCTGCATCTGCACACTCAATCACAGCGCTAAGCTGGGGGTACCCCACCCCTGTCTTCTTGCGGGTGGTGCACACAGAGCCTGCAGAGGAAGACACAGGGGGGCAAAAGGATGACGCTTACGATTTCTAGTCTACAGTCCACTTATATAACAGTCTGAATTGACCTGATACCCATGTGTTACTCCAAGAAAGTTATTTTCAAATACAGCTCTGTAAATTGAATGTGTTCTTATATATGATGTGATGCACTCACAAGTTAATAATGTTAATGTGTCAATAGTCATGAACTTTTTGTGTTAAGAAAGTGACAGAATGAGATCTATTCAAAAGTTCAAGGTTAACAGCTTCTTGAGGTGATGAAGTGATGATGTTCTCTCTTGACATTGAAATGTGTTAGTAAGTGTTACGCTGTGATCACCTGGTCCGATGCCTACTTTGATGATGTCAGCGCCAGCCAGGATGAGCTCTTCCACCATCTCTCCAGTCACCACATTTCCTGCCTGAGCAAAATAAAAATGATAATAAAAAATGTTTTATTCATTACTTATCCAAGAATTGTTAACTAGTGAACATCCATTCCTTTTTACAACCCCACAAACTGCAGTTTAAAGTCATCGAACAGACATCTACAAACCATTATAGTGTGTGAGGGGAACTTCTGCCTGACGTCTTTGACAAAGTGGACAAAGTGTTCAGAGTAGCCGTTTGCCACGTCGACACAGATGTATTGCAGCTGTGGCACCGCCTCCACGATGGCTGAAATCCTCTCAAAGTCATTTTCACCGGTCCCTGTGCTGACTGCTAAACTCTGGGAGATAAACAGAGAAGAGAGAGAGAGAGCTGTGTCACCAACACCACCATTAATAAACTCTCTGAAATAAAAAGAGTACATAATAATTTAGTACCTGCAGGCATTCGGGATGCTTTGCTGCAAACTCCACCCAGTCATCAATAGAGTAATGTTTATGAATCGTGGTGAAGAGAGTGAACTAGTGGAGGAGACAAAGAACATTTATCAGCCTGCTGTGTAAAATTGTAGGCATTATAGTGTTGGCAGCTTACGTTAAATTTAGGTAGACTTATTTGTTTTGTCACTTTTGTCACTTTCCATTCCCACTAAACAAATAACTGACACTTCAACATCTGCTCTGTGAAGCACTTTGTGGAATAATAAGTGATTGATGTACACCCCACATGCATAGCCTACCTGGTGCAAGGCCAGGGCCATCTCAAAGGTCCCCACAGTGTCCATGTTAGCAGCGATGATGGGGATCCCTCTGTAGCTGCCTTTAGAGTTCCTGAAGGTGAAACTCCTCATCAGGTCCACCTGAAATAGAGAAGAAGAAAAACAAGACCTTAGTGTACTTGATAGTTTAATAGATTTGTTCAACTACTAAGGAAACCATTTATTCTCATCATGATTCACTAGGTGTTACTACAGTCACAGAACAGCAGCAGGAGTCTGTATTTTACAGATGCAGGTTTGTCACTCCTTTGAATTCTCTAACCAGCTGCTACAAGGTGAATAAGAGCTGACATTTTATTTTCTCTCTGAACTGTGATTACTCAAGGATGACTAAAGGTTCAGGAACTGGAATCATCTATATTTACATCAGACAGGTTTCATGTGGGGAAAAAAACCCACCTCACTCCGAGACTTGAGTGTGCTTCGCTTTGGACGGAGGAGCACATCCTTGAAGTCCAGCTTAATGTCATTCTCAATGCGAGGCATTTTGGAAACAGGAGATGGTGTGACAAACAATGTGAAATGAAGCAGTTTGTCCTGGAATATGACTCTGTAAAAATAAAAAAGGAGGGAGGTTAAAGGTCAGGGTGGTTGCTTTGTGCTGCATCTTTTGTCATTTTTGCACCTTCTCTAACTCCCCTTCATACAATCATACACACACACACACTCACTAAATGGCAATAACTACAAGCAAACGTGGTGTATGGTCTGAAAGCCCATTGAAAGCAAATATATTTTTCGCATTCAAAAGACAAGACAACAATAGCCAGAACAGTGGATACTACTCTGTTTAAGTGTAACAAGGCGATTTTAGCTAGCTTACACGCTGCTGGAAATGCTACTGCTAATGCTATTTACACTAAACCGACACAGATCAGAACAGCGTCGCTTCTTCAGCCCCCACGTCAAAATTCAAGGTTACACCAGCTGAAATATTCATAATTGAATCTACTTGCAAACTGGCCTTTACCTTAGCATAAGTTACCAGCTAGTCAAAGAATGGGTTATCTTATAGCTTTAGCAAAAGACAAGATTTACCTTTAAAAAAGTATGATTGATTTTTGTCTGTGCTGCGGCTTCCTTTCCTTTCCCACTGTTTACGCGGGAAGTTTTACGGGGGCGGACACCTACTGACGGCCGCCTTGTAGTTCTTTAAGGTCTCCATCGTGTGAGTAATACGTAGGCAAAAACTACAAATACGAGACTCGCTTTACGACACGTTGTGCTGATGCCGTAAGGATTATTTTTTAGGTATTTAGAAAAACATATTTCGGCTTGTTTTTGTTGGTACATTGCTCACGCTAATGCAAGATCATTTTAGGACAATTTCTTAGCTTTTTCGACGGTACATGAAGCTGATGCTAAGTCCGAAATCAACTAAAGCGGAACCGTCGACACACAGAAAAAAGGGGCGGTGGGAATCGCCGAGAAACACAGGAAACACCCATTGAATTTTTTGGAAGGGAATATCGAGTTTCTTCATAAAATACCGCATTAACATTATCTATCAACCCGCAGTTGGTCAAATCATAGATTCTGTTAACATATAATAACGCCACTGATCCCGCTTCAGTGAATTTTAGAAAAACAAGTCAACAAAGATGCTGATAAAAGTGAAGGTAAGGCATAGCAAGTATAACGATTAGCCCGGTTGAACAGTTAGCCAGTCATTTGAACAGTTGTTATTACTGAGTCACTGAGTTGTATCTGTTGTCATAAATTTCTTAACAATAACACAAACGTATCTTTATTACAGACGCTCACTGGCAAGGAGATAGAGATCGACATAGAGCCCACAGATAAGGTATATGATCATTTATTATTTCCTCTCTTTTGCTTTGTGCTGATAATAACATACGATGATCCATTGTCCAGTGTGTGTTGGAGCATTGAGTGTTTTGCATTCATTTCCATCCAGGTGGAGCGGATTAAAGAAAGGGTGGAGGAGAAAGAGGGGATTCCTCCCCAACAGCAGAGGTTGATCTACAGTGGAAAACAGATGTAAGATAAAGAAACCCTTTCTTAATTAAAGCATAAAGTTGGAGATATTCTGTATATTTTTCTTATTGTCAATAAGTTCTGTTAAAAGACCAAAAACCAACAATGAATTATCCCACTAACAAGTATTATCTCTGTTTGTGGTAATCAAAATAGTCCCAGATGAATGCACAGTTTATTTGTTAAAAACTACTAAACAGCTGTTTTGGAAATTATTGAGCCATTCTTAAGAGTGAAGCTATGTATTTATGTCCTGTTTTCAAGATTTACATCTTTGATAGGAACAAATGTGTTTGGCGTGAGTGCCACAGACATAGTAGGGAAGTGGGAAAGTATTTAACTTCGGTTCAACATTAACTTTATTGTGCCCTGGGGGGCAAATTTGCTGTGCAGCCAGTTGAAACAGAAAACACACAGACTTTAAGTATAAGATACATAAAACATAATAAAATACATGAAAGATACAATAAAATTGAAATTCTCCAGGGATTAATTGACAATAAGAAAATTAAAGTTGCATATCTTTATGTCTGTAAGAATGTTTTATATTTTATGCTAATTTATGTTTGTTTTTTGTTTTTTTTGGTGACACGGCTTCTGAAAGCTATGTGATTGTGACGTCCTGTCATTATCCATGCTGTCAATATGTAAAGTTCAGTTTTTCAAAAGAGGCATTTCTGCTGCCTGATGTCCTCTGCTCTGCATCCCTTTACTCTCTTTTCTTAGGAACGATGAGAAAACAGCTGCAGACTATAAAATCCAGGGAGGCTCTGTTCTCCATCTGGTACTCGCTTTGCGTGGAGGCCAGGTGCTCCACTCTCCCAGATGCCTCTACTCAAAGCCTGCATTGTAGCCATCACTACAAAACATGCCTTAGCTTTTGCAATGCCTACACTAAGAGGATACACTGAAGACACACAGCCACCAGTTGCGGAGCCACCTGGTGGCGCTGTAGGCAACACAGAGCCATTGGTAGAAAGAGTTAGATCAGGTTCTGTTTGTGGCAGCCTCTTCCTTTCAGCCAAGAATGTGTTGGCTTTGCAAACATTTCCCCCCACTGTTATGGCGAGACACTCCACATGTTAAAGCTAGGCTGGTGGAGATGGCAAAGTTATTTTCAAAATTAAACAAGTGTTGGTTATAGAATCACAACCCAGAAGTAATTTGGCTGCTATGGAAAATGTACATGGATTTTTCTGTTTATATCTAAAGCTCTGAAGCAGGAAAGGCCAAGTTTCCCAAAGCATTTAAGCAGAAATGTTATCTTTGTTCCACTAACCCACAGTGAAGTAGAGATAATGGTAGCTTTAGGGAAACTCATTTGGATTGCAGTCTTTGCCTTCAGAGTGTGACACAAACTAAGGTTTACTTGTTCTGCTTCATGCATGCTCTCTACAAATCGCCCCCACTCATGTAGTATAATTACTGAAGCTACTGCATCAACATATCAAAAGTTATTTTCTCTTGTGAAGCTCCCATGTAGCTCAGTTAGATTTGTGAAGGATGTGCAACAGTGTGTTTAAAAGTTTAGTTTTACACTTTAGGGAAATGCACATACTTGTTGTCAAACGCAAAAAATCCTTTCAGCACTTCTGAAGTTAACAGATAACCACGTTGTAATTTGTTCGTTTGATCTATACAAAAAACAAAGTTTAAAACTACCGTCAGATGCTTTAGGGAGGATTATATGCTGGACTGTTTCTTGGTTCTCGGCAGTTACCAGGCAACAAACGGTCTGCTGTGTAACCCGCCATGGAATTAATGTTTTAAACTTTTTATTTTTTCTTTTGTAAGGATTAAAGAAGCAGGATATAATGTGTTAACTAGTGAGCTTCAGAGGTGCTGATAGTTGAATTTTCTCACCATTGGAGCCAGACAATCTGTTTCCAATCTTTGTGATAACAAACGGCTCAGGTGCTAAGCTAACTGGCCGTAGCCTTAATGAAAGAAAATGAGAGTGGCATCGATCTCATCATCTAACATTAACTCTTCGCCAGAAAGTGAATAAGCATATTTCCCAAAATGTCAAACTGTTCCTATAAGGGAAAACAATAACTAAAGGACGTGTTTTATGTGCTTTGTGTGTCAGGAAAACCTCCTGCCACTTGAATCATTTACCACATTGTGTGCTTTACTCCTGCTTCATAAACAGACTGAGCATGTCCACTCAGTAGGATAATGTTTTATAACATTTCATGTGAATTTAATTTGTTAAGAGTAATTTGTTTTTGTGCCGATTGCATATTTTTACTGTTGCAAGAAGACAAGGGGCTTGCCGACTATGGTCCTGTCTGACAATGGCTTTAGTTTACATGGATATTGTTAGGTTTGTTTGTATGTTCAGAGAAGCAGTGTTAACTTTTGGGATTGCTGTGTATGCACCTATATGCTGCCCCCACACCCCACTTAAATTCACACAGTTGTGTGAAACTGGCCTATGCTGTGGATTAGTTTGTGAGGAGAATAAAAATTATGTTGATGCTAAAAATGCCTCACCTTTGTCTTTCTGTGTGGATTCATCTAAAATGTTTGATACAGCTGAACAAAAGAGGCATGAAAAGTCTTTTTCATTTATGTATATTTTTTATTCTTGCCACACACACACCACCAATATGTACATTTACATTTTTACACACAAAAATAGACACAAGTTTGAGAGATATCAGTGAAAATGGCTCTCAGTATGGTAGGTAGACTGCAAAAGGCAAACTTAAATTACACACAAAATGATTGAGAATGAACATCCTCACCAGGCGGTGTATTGTAATGCGATGATGTATTGCCAAGATAAGGATGACTTAGATCACCAACATAGGAAACTATATTTCCTCTGCTTTGAAGGCCTGTTTTGGTCTGAATTAAAGCAGGAGGTGGAGGTTGCAGCTCATAAGGGAACCTTGAGCAGCAAGGAAGTTAAGACATGAGTCAGAAATATCAGCACTGTTGAGCTTCCTTGAGATTTTAAGCGATGCATCGTACAGGATTTGACTGAACTTGTGATGCCATATGACGCAAAGTTGCAGCATTTGAATTCTGAGGTGGAAACATTTTCAGGCCTCATTTATGCACAGTAAGGGTCTTGATAAGGAATAAAAGTAAAAAAAAAAGTCTGTTAAAATGTCTTCTCATTATAGAAAGCACTGAATGTAAAAAGAATTTAATCAACTTATTTCAAATGATCGAACAGTGGGATAAAGATAAAGACACGGAGCATTTTTTATATAAATGAGGCCCTGAATTACAAATTCAAACATTAGTCAGTGGTTTTTATTTACTAAGAGACAAAATACAGACTGTCATGACATCTGTGCATACTGTAAATACACAACAACTGTACAGGCACAACACACAATCATTGTACTTGTAAAGACATCCAAGACACCCTGTTCCCCTTAGAGTTTAATAAGAGCAACCTTTGCCCAATTTTAATGGTACTTTCGTTGTCAGAATTGTTCAACACCTGACATCCTCTGTGAAATTTTTTTTTTTTTTTTTGGGGGGGGGGTTGGTTGTAAAATTGAGACTCCTGAGGAAATAAATATCTAAAAGCACCAGTACAGACATTTATCACGAACAGACTGGATTTCAAAGAAGCAATGAATCAGATCTGTTGAGTTTTCATGGTCTGGAGGTTTTAGGCAGTGTATGTAAGGAGAAGGCAGTGGGGATGCCCTGAGACACTAGGTTTTTAGAAAGACTGAAGACATGAAAGTATATAATGTATGTTTATGTATGAAGGAGTGTTGTAACTATAACATACAGCATAAGTGTGGAAACATAACTATAACCAGACAACACAGAATGGGTTCATTCAGTGGTGCATGTTCAGTTTTTGCTGGTGCCTGTACTAATATTGCACTATAAAATAATTTCTAGTGAATTATATGAATCAAAAAATGTTTTTTTAATGTAAAGCTCTTTTTTCTACACCCTAAATAAAGCAAAAAGAAAAATCTAACCACAACTAGATGTCAAGCTAAAAAAATACTTTTGCTGTAAAACATGAAAGACAATCAATGCCTTTTTTAAACTGTTTTCACACGGGCATTCACATGTGTCGGTGTAGGGATTTGCACATTAACGATGCAAATGTGGTGGTGAAAACTATCATGTCTTGCCTATTTATTCTTTCTAGTTGTCTAAGTCTATGCTGCACCCGCAATTTGAATGGGTAAATTATCTCTCTGCCTCAGTCAAAGCAACACAGCTACAATGGCACCCAAGTACAGAATATATTCTAATTAAGGCAATTAACAAGAACTGTGCATCATTTACCAGCACATTCACCAATACAAAGTACAGATCACACATCATCTTTCAGGTGTACACCTTTGCAGTTTCAAGAGTAAAAAATAGGCCCAGATGAATATGATGTCGAATAGAAAAAAAAGAATATCAAACAAAACTGAAATTAACATATTAAAACTAAAATAACAACAAAGGCAAATGATATAAACAATTATCACAATTACAAAAAATATGAGAGAAACATTTCGGAATCACAGTCACCTTTAAAAACAAAACAACAGTACTTAGTGTACTTCACAACATGAAATGACTTGATCTGAATCTGATTTTCTGCTTTGACAATCAAAATACAGCTTTGGTGTTGAATGTATGACAAAGCAAAAATTAACAATGTGGCATCAAAAAAAAAAAAACGGTTTGCGTAGCCATCACAGTACAGTAAGAGTCTTTTGATAATAATATAAAAACACTAAAAAAAATGTCGCTCTTACAGTGGGAGTGTGCAGAGTGTGTGGAGGGGGAGAGGGGATGATCAGAAGCAGGGTGGTGGTGATGATGGTGATGATGATGATGATGATGATGATGATGATGATGAGGATGAGGATGAGGATGAGGATGATGATGATGAAGAGTAGTGAATAGTTAAATGTAGATCTTTACGCATGTGCTGAGGAGTTGAAAGGCGTTAACCTTTCTTTATTGCACTTTTGAAGGACCCCAGATAGAAAAGCTTGAGGTCATGTTACTCTAAACATCTCATCCTATATTTGGCACAGAAATTATTGATTGATACGATGCTGAAAACCAAATAAAAAATGTTGAAGACAAGACGTGGGGGCACAAGTGTTGATCAGTAATTCCACTACAAACTGTGATGTATGTTTGCATGTGTCTTTGTGTATGTGTGCGCCCACATGTGCGTCTGTTTTTGCCTGTTTACTTTTGGGGAAGGTGGGTGATAAAGACGTGCACTTTAGCAGTCCGCTGACTTGTGGTTGTCTCCGTCCTCCTTGGACAGAGGAGACCTGGCCTCCTTCATTTCCTCTCCTTCCTCTCCACTCCCGCTGCTGCTGCCATCGCTTCCGGCAGGATAAACCACCACACAGAACTTCTGGCCCACATACGTCATCTTGTCTGGAAGAAAATAACAAAACGTTTTAGGGCAGGGCCAGTGATGTGCTTTCAAATTTTGTATTAACAGTATGTGCATATGAAGAATTATTTGGTTTGTTTCTGTCTACTTGGATATGGGATTTTTGGGATTAAAATGTTAACATTTTGGCTACTTTGGCTAACATAATGACATTTTAATTACACTTTGAAATCTGTAGTTTCATTTTCTTGCCAAGAGTTAGATGAAAAGAGCAATATCACTCTCATATCTGTGCGTTCAGGACAGAGCTAGAGTGAGCAGGTGATTAGCCTAGCTTAGATCAGACTCCAAGCAGGGGTAACCAGTTAGCCTAGCTAGGTTGAAAACAAAAATAGCTACACCACATAACTCCCTGTAAAACTATAAGTTGTTATTTTATACATCACTGTTTCAGTAAGGGTGAAACAATCAATAAACAATGTTTTTATTGAGTTTTAGAGGCACAAGAAAGTGTGTTTTTCTCCAGCCAGAGCCAGGCTAGCTCCTGCTTTCAGTCGTTGCTAAGCTAGGCCAACAAACCACCTGTTCTGTAAACTTCACTTAAATTAATTAATTTAAAAAGTTGTAAAATGTAAAAAACAAAAAATTGCCCCAGGATAAGCTAACTTACTAACGAAGGTGTCAAAGCACTGTGGCTTGTTGTCCCAGTAGACTCCCAGGAAATAGACAGGGACGCCAGTCAGCATGATGGCCAGGCCGATGCCGCACACCACGGGCTCGGAGTAAAGGGAGAAGATGAGCAAGAAGGCCCAGAAGATGAGGTAAATGACCGGCCATATCAGGCTCACCTGGAGGAGGGAGCAAAGAAGCACATTTTCACAGTCAAGTACAAAGTTTACTTTGGTATCTAACATACATGTTAGTTTTGAAGAAGACTTCTGCATTAATCCTTTAAATTTCACTTCACACAGCTTGTCAGTTTCCACTGCTGTTACGTTTACCACTGATATGGCAGTCTCAACTCTCAGCTCTCTGATAGTACACCTTTCCCTCCACTAGAGAACAGCTTTAAAAAAACAAGTGTCTGGCTGCTTGAAAGCAGAATTACTGCACATTATCAGTGTCTCCCTGCAGATTGGCTGTTTTTTCCAGTGGCTTTCACCCCTGCCTTGTTAGTACAACCTCTTCTGAAAACACAAAAGAACTCTAGATGGTATACTCTTGTGCATTCATAAGTAAAGTGCAAATATATAATTAAGAAGCCAAAGGACGAAGCTAAAATGAGGCAAAAACACATAAAACACATAAACGAACCTTGATTGGCCGGTGCATGTTGGGCTGCTTGATGCGCAGGACAATCTGCCCAGCGACAGTGACTCCATAGAAGAGGTAGTTGATGAAGCCCACGTAGTTGATGAGAGTGTACATGTCACTGGTGCACAGCATAAGCAGAGTGGACAGGCACTGTGGGAAAAGAGGGATAGTTTGTGGTTTGCTACTTTTGGGTCTAGTATCTCAAGAGACTGACACTGACTCATCTGAAGGAGATAATGTTGAGGAATGTAGCAGTGAGAGCACAACTCACAGTGAAGAGCAGAGCAGGGATGGGAGTACAGCGCTTCACATGAATCATGGCCAGCAGACTGGGGAGGTGGCCTTCTCTGGCTCCAGCAAAGAACAATCTATAACAGACAGAGACATAGTGGGAAAAAAACATTCAGTTAAAGCATCTGCAGTAGATCCAGTGAAAAAAAAATGATAGACTGGGTCAGTCATCTAAACTAGATGGCAAATAAACCAGACTGAACTTTGGGGAATTATGTGCACAAGATAATGTAGAATATCTCCAGTCGATGGGATGCTGCAGGGCCTTGCTGTGCTGGGCTTTCTTTGCACATGATTATATAGAACATGTTTACTGTTTAAAGGTTATTTCATATTTATATAATAAAACTCTGCTTTCACATTATAAATATGTTACATGTGAGTTAAAGAGTGAAAAAAAATATACAAAGATGGTTTGACCCAGCGGTGGAGGTTTTTAAAGAGCCAACAAACCTTGAAGAGGTAAAGAGGGAACCGTTGACTCCCCCGAAGGTGGAGAGAGCCACAGAAATAGGCATGATCCACGCCATGACTCCCAGCAGCTTCTCACCGAACGTCTGGGATGGTGGTTGGATGAGACGGAGGGACAGGGGAGTAAAGCAGACACACAGGTTAGCTGCTTATTTAAACATGTTTTTAATATGTTATAATGCAACTAATGAGAAACCAAAGCATCATTTGGCTTTCATTCACCAAGAGGGACCACTAGAGGGTGACAGAGTCATTCTACTATCAAGGTGTGTGTTTTGAATGAAGTCACGGGACCACCCTGCGTCACAATCAGACCCCACTCACCACGGCAACAGCGTTTGAGGCAAGCAGCTCCTTGGGGCTCATAGCCGTGACGTAGGCGATGTTGGCGAAGACGTAAACGAAGGTTACGAGGGGGATGGAGATGAAGATGGCACGGGGAAGGTTCCTGCATGGAGACAATAAAAAAACAGTATTTAGTTGACAGTGGGGAGAAGCGGGGGATTTGAAGCAGGAAATTAAAAGTGGTACCTTAGGGAAGGTGTATCAATGGATACCAAGGTTATTAAAAATGTGAGATTGTTAAAAAGAAAAAAAGATAGATAGAAAATGCAAAGGAAATTAAAAAATAAACCTTTTCATACACTGAGACATCACTCTAGGTTAGTGGCCAGACATTAGGAATGATAGCGAGAGTTTCTTTCATGCTAAATTGCATAAATTTCAGAGAGCTTTAACAAGAAGGAACAGGGATTAAAGTGGGAAGCTTACTTGGTATGCGACTGCTAATCACTGAAATAGCTACAAGCAGCTTTTAAATCAGCTATATTCCTATGGCAATGACCCATTCAGTGCTGCAGAAAGGTTGTTTTCTAACCTCAACGGCACAATATTTCTAGATATGTGAGAGGCAGAGCAAAGTGTCTTACACATAGGGGTCCACCAGCTCCTCTGTGACGTAGTTGAGGAAGTTCCACCCTCCATAGGCGAAGGAACCTTGTAGAAAAGCTAAGGCTATCAAACCAACATCATAGTCCTGGAAGGGCTCAAAGGCATTGGCTGGCTCCAACCAGTAGTACTCTCCTACATGTGGAGAAGATAATGCAAAACAAGAGGAACAATGTTTAGTTTGGTGCAGCAGTCAGGAAATATTTTCACACTCCTTTCAATTAAAACCACCTCCTTTATTCTCATGTAAACTTGAATGACATGACCTAACTAAGTACTTCTCTTCCTGATAATTTCACTCTGGTTTTGCGAATGTCGTTTTGCTGAGGGCGTAAACGGACTGATTTTCACAAAGGTTTGGGCTTGCTGTGAGGAAATCCAGCTGAAAACCATTGTCGGATGCAATCAGTGTCTTTCCACATGGTGATTCCACTGTGATCCCCTGAAATTATGAGACACTATCAAATTCTCTGTTTGGGGTAAATGTCTAAATCATCATTAATCTTTATAAATCTTTTTTTTTTTTTTTAATTGTCATTATATTTTTCCTTAAATCCCTTCAGAGAGCATGAAAGTATTTCTACCCTGCTCTCTCATATATGACATAAAGTCTCCCGTCAAGTCAGCCACTGAACTCTTCATTATCTTCAAACACGCACACAGAAATCCCCATTTTGTTGTTTCAGGGGCCTAGTCTCTGTGGCCCCTGTAATAACTGGCCCTCAGCCATGTTTGAATTGCAAACCCACCCGGGCGTGCTGATGTTAGCAATGTGAGTTTTAACCAAAAGGGCCCCAGCAACTTACTGACCCCTATGGCGTCCGCGGGGAGTCTATACTGTCCCACATGACTGAAGATGTCCCCAGTGACCGCGAGTGTGTGTATTTGTGCGCAGACAGCGGAACCACCCAGTGGAATGTACTATGGACATATGCATTCATGGATGCACAGATGGCATTAGACAGCTTACCCTTGCAGATCTGCACGATGCCCATGACGATGATGAGGGCGAGGGCCAGCAGTTTGCCGGCGGTGAAGATGTCCTGCACCCTGGTGGCCCACCTCACGCTGGAGCAGTTCACCCATGTCAGCAGCACTGAACAGACACACACAAAAGACAATAAAACACATGGTTAGGTTTTCTTTTTTTTTTTACCCCTTAAAATCCGGTTTTCCCTTTGTGTTCTGACATTATCACATTTATGTTTTCTTTATCAGCTTGCAGCATTTCCACAGACAGTTTTATTCTACAGATCTTGTGCATCGTTCTGCGCATCAGCCTGAAATCTTGATATCTTTGGAAACTTCTGAATCTCCACAAGAATTTAATATAAATTAAATTTCCGCTGGTTTGAATAATGTCTTCAATGCACAATATGACTTTGGACTGACTGTTCTGAGATGTTGGGAAATGATCGTGATTGTGAGTTGAAGGTCATGGAGAGAAATTAGTAGAAGAAGATCATACTGAGCTACATTCTGTGCAACACGCAGTTACTGGTTTATGTGTTCAGTATTTAATTGGTGTTGTAAAAAAAACTGTTACTGCATTGTTTGTAGTAGCAGTACTCGTAAAATTGCTCAAGAAAAGAAGTTGTGAAAGTGGTTATTGTCACTGATAAAGCCAATAACCTTAGTACGTGAACTGATCTCAGGTCATTTAAATGGAGAAAGATTAAAAGCTGCATACTTGAACATATGTGACGTGTCATAAACGCAGCAGCGACCTTAGACTTTGTTGCTGCATCATCACATTGAACTTCAGCCGTTATCTCCTCCACTTCTGCAGCACTTGTGTTTTTCTTTTGAAGTACTGCAAGTCTTTCATATCCACACATGCTTCAGTGGTTCAAGTGGTTTTTTCTACCTTCTGTGATTTAAAAGAAATTATAATAATCCCATTCATGCAACTTGAATTTTCTTTTTTTTATCCAAATAACAAATATTACACTCAGTTTATATTTTTGTTATGTTTTAATTCTGTTTTTTAATAATGATTTTAAGACGCAATTGTACATTGTCTCCATTCATATATATTGAAGTGACAGATACATTCAATATATTTTGGGTAAGAGCTTTTGGGTTTTTTAAAAATTTTTTTCAACCTGCCATTTTTTAAAATCATTTACTAGGTTTGTTGATTTGGAAAACTTTTTGGAAATACCGTTCAACTGACTCCAACTCGAGGCTGAGCTAACACAGACAAAGATAATGGATTTGATCTGTACTGCTGGGTACAACAGGCCAGTGGGTTCAGGCCAATAGGGTGCCATTAAATAATAGGCCTGTTTGACTCTGTGGGATTAAGTTCATCACATTAAATAACTCTGGGCTGAGCTGCCACTGCAGGGAACAAAGGCAGATGCACATGAACAGACATGCATGCCTCTGCACTGATATGAACATACTGCAGATGGAGAGTGTGGTTTGCAGACTGAGCTCATTTACATATGCTGTGGAGATGTTTTTGAGGTTTCTTTTTAGGTCAGTGAGCGTGTGTTTAAAGGCGGGGAAAGTTAGGGCTTAAACTGCATGTGCAACATTTGTGGTGAGGGGGAGACCTGTAGCTGCTACTCCCCCCACAAAAAAACTGGAAATGAAACACACACAATTCAGCTTATGACTTGATTTGTGTACTGTATACACACAGACATAATAAACTACCCCTGACTGGTCCACTAAATACATCTTAAACCTCTTAACTCAACCACCAGTAAACAGCGTTGTTTTAGGAACCAGATGATCTTATTGCCACCATACTGCATTACAGTAACAACACACACGTCCCCTCCTAGTCTTCTTTGTAGATCAGCAGGATTCGAGTAAACACCTGCGGACACAGTCTCCGAATCACTGAGCTGTGGGGCCGCTCAGCTGTCTGTAAGCTGAGTATACAAAATGTGTTATGCATTTATATATGTGTGTGTGTGTGGAAACTTCCTGAGTTAACTACAAGCCACCTGGAAAACATGACAGAGTTATGACCTCGCGCTCTGGCATCTGTAGGAAGAGTCGGACCCCAGGGAGAATCCCGCCGCATTTTATTTTGAAACGGTACCCCTTGAAAAACCTTTTCCCCCCGCAGATTGAAATGAGCGAACCGGTCCGCGGCTGGAGGCGTCTGGTTTGACTGTCACTCAATCCTGTTATCGCTGGATTTGTAGGTAAATAAGTATGTGGTTATATCCTGCAAACTATTAAACAATATTCAGCAAAGGCTAAATTTAAATTTAAGACTTCACATAACCGTCTAAACACACAAGCAGATACACACACTCATCATGGCCCTATAAACAACAAGGATGACATCAGAGTTGAGGGGAAACAGCTAACCTCTCACCCACTTTTCACCTGAAAAACAACAACTGCAAAACAAGGATAAAACTTCTACAAAAATACTCAAGGTTTTTTTTTTTTTTTGGCTGAAAGCTGCCTGACAACATCTGTTCAGCTGACTAAAGACAGAAGCTACATCACTCCGCTGGCTCAGCCAATCAAAACCAGTTTCGCTAAAAACAACCCAGAGTTTGGCAATGAAATGACTGCTAGCAGTTCCTGTCAGAACTGAGCACATTTTGCCTCAAGGCACTCATGGAAGTGGGACAAGAAACACAGGTGAATATAGGTCAGTGTCTGTAATTAAAATGAAAACACTAAAAAAGTATTCAGAGAGCACAGAGCTCTGCCAAGGTTTACTGTCCTGAAAGTTCATTATTAGCTCTGCCAAGGAGGTTTTCAGTCTGTTAGCTGGCATGAGATATAAAAAAAACACTTATGATGTAAATTTATGAAGCACTTCATGTTTTATATGAACTGTTTCTATTCCCCTTTAACAAATAGCAATCAAAGTAGATTTCACCCATTATCCCCTAAACATGATTTCTGTAATTTTGAATATAATATTTTTCTTGTTATTTTAAACCTACTCCTGTAAATTTCTTCTTAATTTTACCAAATTTGTTTGGTTTGTTGAAGAGGCTTGAAAACAGCCGCTGTTGTTTTTGGATATATTCAGTACTGATATAAAATGATTTTTCTTTTTACCCCCTAAATTCCTTGCTTAAGCTAATATCTATCAGAGTAGACCTCATCCATTCTACCACTCCACCTAAACAGACCTAAACAAATTTCATCCAAATTTTACCAAATTTGTTGGAGAAGTCTGAAAAGAGTTTCTGCTGTGTTTTGACATTTCAGTTTTTTCCATTTTTCCTTGTTGCCAAAACACTGACTGAATTATGATTCAGGCGACACATGAGATCTGTTTAACAGTTTTTGAGAGTTCCTGATGACTAACAAACAGACATGTGAAACTGAAAACACAACTTCTTTGGCAGAAATAGTGGATCTCTCGGTTCACTGAGTACAAATGTGTATTATTGCGCACGGCTTTCGACAGCGAGGTTTTCACATTGTCAGGCTAAACAGAGCGGCCGACTGAGCCCATCTGCCAGTGAACAGCGTGTCTCAGGATGTTCCCCCGTGCTTCCCAGCTCCAGGAAAAAAACAAAAAATAACAAAACCCTTTGGTGATCAGTTTGAAGGAGAAGAAATATTTAAATACAGCCGCGACTACGAGATTCCACCTTTCTACCGAAGAAGCCAAACACAAACCCAGTGACACGCTGAAGTGTAGATATTTGAACATAACAGCTCCAGTTTCTCCAGTTCAACCAGCTCCTGTTTTTCTGTATTTGACCCTGACCACTCACCTGCTGTTGGAGGAAAAATTGAAAAACCAGTTTCCAGTTGAGCTCAGAACGATGTTTTTTGGAAGCAAAAAAAAAAGCAAAAAAAAAGGACATAGTTGTTTTCCTTCTCCCGTCAAACAAAAAAAAAAAACATTTAAGTGACGTCAAAGAGATGAGTAAACAAATATTTGCACTGATGCAGTTGCAGGGGTGAGGTGAGACCGCAGCTCCCACAATAACCGGCGATTATGGAACAGTGGGATGTTTACTTGACATGTCGGATTAGGATTTTAACAGAGAACAGTCGTGTTTTGTAATCAGCCGCAAGGATTGCTTCATAGTAATGCGTGTGTAACACACACAGACAATAAACATAGTCTTCTTCTGCGTCCGCCCCTGTCTCTCTCTCTCCGTCTGAAGGCTGCCTGCAGTATTTGACCAGCGAGTGTGAACTTTGTAGAAGGATTCAAAATCGACCGCTGGCATGTCGGCGCCAAACACATCCACCCATTTGTCTTCATGCATTCACTACTCACTGCTACTGTCCTCTAGCTGCTCTGTTACCTCTTTTATTCTCCCCTCCTTTTAGACGACCTCTGACAGAGAGGTAGATAAGAGACAGGAGAGATTCAGAGAGAAAGGGGAAACACTGGGGCAGAGAATGGGACCTAAACTGGATAAATCAAACCATAATTCAGCCAAACTGCTTTAAATAACTTGTGTATTATAGACATCTTTGATCATGTAACTACAACCAACAGAGCAGACTGTTTGCTTTAATGTGAAATGTACTGTCACACACTGCACTGTGCAGGATCTACGCTACCTTTACATTTTGTCCAGCAGCGAGCGTCTCAACCCTGGCTTTAACTGTGTCAGCATTTGTGCACCAATTACTTCTGGTGATTTACATTGATTCCCATTTGTTTTCATTTATTTATTTTATAGTGTAGTCCTAGATTTATTGTCTGTTTTTCACCTTCTGAACCTGTGTCTCAACAAGCACACTCAAAGAACATTGTGTCCCTCCGCTGGTCCGTTCAGACTGTCCCTGCTCCTTTACCTCAGCATATTCAAAACTGAGTCAGTGAGAAGTCACAGCTTTTATTTAGCTCACTAGGGAAATGTAAATTGTGAAACTTTTATCATACGTGATGATCCATTTCCAAGTGCAACCCTTTACATTACGCTAGGGCCAAATTTGTTTAAAGGGGCTATTTTGTAAGTTTTGTCTGCCGCCCAAATGTGGTTTCTTGCTGGGAGCTGGTGTTAGTGATTGTTGTTTGCCTAGAGCTTCAGCTAAGAGAACAAGTTATAATACAAGCCTCTACATGAATTTCCCCTAAGGGATAAATAAAGTATCTATCTATCTATCTATCTCTCTGAGCAGATCTACGTCTTCAGGGCAGGTTGGAGGCCGCATTGAGTCGCTATAGGAAAGTGACGAGACGGGCTGTGGCTAGCTGGTTAGCATGCGGACTTCAGTTGAAGGAAAGATGTGATAGAGATAAGAGTTAACGTTGGCGTTGCTTTCCACCGCTGGAGACAACCCTTGGTGTAGTACTAAGTAGCAAGTTTGAAACTGAACTCACAACATTTCTTCAAGGCTGCTTTGTAAACAGCTGTTAATGCTACGTAATGCTATGTAGCAATTAGCAAAACTTACAGATAGCTGCGTTAAACAGCCATAAAAATGTTTAATATTGCTGTAGTTGCTCTTAGCAGATAAGTGGATATTTTGTGAAATATGTTTGATTTTATTGATGTGTGCAGTATTGACATTTTGCAGTTTGCATTAATCAAATGACGTCTTCTTCTTCTGCAAGGGATTCCAGGATAAATCTGAGGGGTCAGCTTGTTTCAATTTTTTCCAGACTGTTTTTGACATTATTTGCTACTGTATTAATCAAGCCTCTAAAACTATTTGAATGAAACAATCTGAGAAGGGAGCATCACTTGTTGGTTGCGCTGCTCTCAATTTACAGACGTATATGCAACCTGTGAAAAGGCTGTCAGTGTCAGACTATTCCTTAAATCTCTATTTCATTTTTCCACCTCTACCAGGCAGAACTGTCATGTTTAAGCACATTGAGTTGAGATTGTTGTCAAAGCATGTTGGGCATGTCCCTTCACATAAATACAGCTGAAGCAAATAAAAAGGGTTAAATTTTTGTGACTCTTAGAGATTGTGCTAAATCCTTATGATCGTGACACACAGCTCACACAGTTTTGTACATAGCAGGGACTCTGTGTTACCCTGTGTTAAGACGTTTAACCTTGCAGGTTTCATTGAGGACAAAAAAATCGCATAAGGAAAAAAAAAAAAATGACAGCGTCACAAATGTGAGACCTGACGTGCTACTCACAGAGGCAGACGGCAGCCAGCAGACGCAGGCCGTTCTCCGGGGGGAAGCAGGTGGGGAAGAGAGGCTGCAGGACGTAGTTGGAGAACGTCAGAGCGATCACAGCCTGATTGGTCGGGTAGATGACCAGCACGGCGATCCACAGACGCAGGAACCTGGAACAAAAAAGGAAGGGGAGGGGGTGGGGGGGGTGGCGCGGTTACAAACACAGAGGCATGTGAGAAACAGCGGGGTGTTGGGATCAAATACAGTGTGTAGGAGCACTAACAGGTGAGAATAAACAGGAGGAAACACATCACAGAGGTACATACATCACATATACATCCTTCCATTTACAGATTCCCATTCAAAGCAGGTTATTTTTGGTTGAGAAAATGTATACCCTCTTTCTCCATATGCTTGGCCTCTATTGGCTCTATTACAATCCACGGTCATGTGGCTATAAAAGACATGTGTGATTTATTCAATAAAACAATTAACATTATATTAATTACTGATAATGAAATGATCATTTGAGTCATTTATTCATTTTTCCAGCCTCTCAGTATGAGGAGGACTTGCTGCCTTTCTTCTGTTTTATATCACAGTAAATTGAATATTGTGTTTTGGACTGTTTGGTAGAGGAACATGTTATGTCCCCTTAGGCTCTAGGAAATTATGTTGGGTATTTTTTTTTTCTATTTTGTGAGATTTTACAGTTTAAACAATCAAACAATCAATAGAAAAAATAGGCCAAAAGACCGAGGCAATACAAATAATAAATCCTTGCAGCCCATTGATACAAAGCAAAGAGGAAAACCCATGCTGTTTGTTACAGGCTGATATGGAAGCTTGAAGGCTCATATTATACTAACATTTCTGTTTTCAACCTACTTTGATCCCCAGCTACAATCATCTGTCAAATTTCTTTTCCTTGTTGCTGCAGAGTGAAGTGTCAGCGCAGTCAAACAGTGTTTAGACCGAGCAGCGGCGAACAACCAGACTAATAAAATTTACGTTTGGCAGCTGGTTTAACTGGAGGTGAGTCACTCAGCCTGTCAAACTGTGAGGGTCTGTTGAAGTAGCTACAGGCACGGAGGAACATCAGGTCTGCCAAAAAAGCTCACACTGATGTATGATGAATAAAAGCAGGATACCAACATTAACCTGAATATCTATACAAGGTAGGAACATTAATGGGAGCGGAGGGGGTTGTACAGATGTGAGATGACATGAAGGAGAGCGGGGTGGGGAGCTGGGGTTTAGCCGAGTGTAGCAGGAGAGACCAGACGTGCGGTATTTCCATGAAATTCTCCGAAAGCTTATGGAGGGATCATTACACCTGACTGCGTTAACGGGATTGTGTCTCGCTGGAATGTGTGTGTGTGTATGTGTGTGTGTGTGTGTGTGTGTGTGTGTGTGTGTTTCTTGTTTGTTTTACATTTTGTGCAATGTTTTATTTTTAACTCCGCTTCATTTTTTTAAAAGTAAAATCTACTTTTGTTCTGCATATAAAATTTTTAAATGTTAAAAATATAATAAACTCTAAGCAATTATGTATTAAACTAACTGCAAGTCCTAGTATAGTAGTTTAAAGTAGCACAACTTTGGACCAACTACAACATTAAAATGCAGCTTGCAGGTGAATGTATCAATAACTGATAACACACTGATCAGGAGGCCCTCTGCATAATACATACTTTTACTTGTAACACTTCATTACATATGGCTAATAATCCCTCTCTAATTGTACTTAAATACTCTTTTAGTCATTCAAATGGGGGACTGACAAAGGATTTAGTGGTATTACTACTTTTTAGGGCTTTAAATAATTACTATTTTTGCTAAATCTGCATATTCAAATTGTTTATTTGTCTGAAAACCAGCAAATATTGGTTTCCCTTCTACTAGTTTTATTTGAGTAAAGGACCTGAATGTCTTCCTCCACTCGTAGACACATATGAATAATGGGACATAGATTAAATCTCCTCCCACAGGAGGACACAAAGGAGATATTAGTATAGTATAGTCTCTATACTGCACTTTAGGGGTGTAACACAACCCTCTTAAGTCTGACATAACAAAGAGCCTTTGTACTTTAAACACTGTCCAATCAAGTCGTCTCTGAGCGTACAACTTTACGAGCGCTTCCTCTTTTCTACGAGCCCGCCTTCATCCAGCTGCGACAAGGTGATGTAAGTATTTCCGCCACTGCCGTTATTGACTTATGCGCACATGCAAACACAACTGCAACCCCCCCACCGCCAACCCCCACCCCTCACCCGCCCACCTACACACACACACACACACACACACACACATAGGGATAAAAGCAGCTCAGGACAACAAAAAACAAACGCCCCTTGAACACAGTATATTTATCCTAGACAGAGGGCACAGGGGAACGGTGTGGCCCCAACACTTCAAACCGAGCATCTGAAGCCATGAACTACAAAGTCTCTGGAGGTAAAACTTCATTGATGTGTATTGATAGCTGCTGTACAAAGGGACAAAAACAATCATTGGCTGTTTTGTCTGCTTGAATTCCTCTCCCAAAGCAGCCTGATAATATGCAACCTTTTGATAGTTAAAAAAACAATGGTCTAATCTGTGTTTACAGTCTGGGCAAAGGCACAGTGTGTGTGAAATCTACGCTAACAAACAATATTGTTTTTCTAGGAAATTAACTTAGCGTGGTTCCCAAGCATTTACTGTAAGCTGCGTTACCTTAAAGCTAACCATTTATGGATGAATGGAAGGCGGCTGACAGTTGAAAGAATTTCAAAATAGGTTAACACGCCCACAGCAGCGTGACATTTCCAATTCTCTGAGTCTGTTTATGATTCTTCTTTTGTCTGCGGGCATGTGTACAATGACTAAGTTTGAGTCTTAATATCTTTTTTACTTTTTAATTTCTGTACTTGACTACAAGCTAAAGACCCCCTGCTTTGGATCAAGATGTCTGACCTATATTGGAAAGCTCATCCACCAGGATAAAGAGAGGAATCTAGACATGTCGGTATGCTCACCTAAATCCCTGTCAAATTAACTTCATTTGCTTGAGAGGCCCCTTCTTCTCGAAAACTGGGTCATATACTTAATAGACAATACTTCTGGGCACGGTGAAGCGGGGGTTATCAAACCTGACTGAACTCAGAGTCTACAACCAAAAAAATAAAGAAAAAAAGACAGATTATGAATCCAATCCAAAAGAAATCCTGTTTTTCCTGCTTATTGTACATGTTGAATCAAGTCTTTTTTAAATTAAATTGTTATTGGTATTGCGCAGCCTCCCCTGATGTATCATGATTACTGACTCCGAAGGCCACACCTTCATATGTCATATGAAACTACAGCAGCTAAACGTCCCTTTTCATTGTCAGACTGAAAGTCTTCATGAATGTGCAGTGTCTGCTCACCCGGCCAGCCCTCCGAAGATGTCCTTGACGTAGGAGTAGTCTCCTCCCGACTTGGGGATGGTGACGCCCAGCTCCGCGTAGCACAGCGCTCCGATGGCAGTGATGACGCCGGTGATGATCCAGACGATCAGGGCCACGCCCACGGAGCTGGCATTCTCCATCACTCCCTTCGGACTGACGAAGATACCTGAGCCGATAATGTTACCTGGGGGAAGGAAGGGAGAGAGGACGGAGAGGCGTTAGGTTTCAGTACAAACTGATCAAGACCAGTTTAGTCGTCATGGGAAGCACAACCCAGGCCGAGAATGTGTTGTATGGGGTCAACGATGGCTGACGAGTACCAAGAAGACTGTTCCATTTAAAAGAAAATATCAGAGGTTTTTGCATGTTTTCAACGAATCATTAACTTATGTGTTTTAAAAATTTTGAAGGCATTTTGTTCACAATATTCAAATCACCTGACAGACTTTGCACTTCAATCAATACTTAAACTGCATCACCAACAGTGCTACATGGAAACAACTAAAACAAATAACAAATATGAGAGATAAGAAAATCGTTACCACTCTCAAAGACTGGAAACAGAGGCGAACAGCCAAAGTACCGTAAAGAAGAAATGCACCTGCAAACACCTCCTAAGCTCACAGGTTAAATGTTTGTATCTCATTTCTGTGAGGTGTGCACAGGTTTCAGGTAACTGTGCCAAACCTTGCAACCCCACTGAGACAAGACTCACTGAACAAGACTGTTAACACCTCTAACCCCTGAAACCACAAACTGTCATTTTCAACAGCAGCTTTTCTGTTCATGTACAGATGAAGATACATTGAGGGAGTCTGCTGATTGAATATTCATATGATGAAGCGAATGAACCAGTAACGTATAAATGATTTGTAGTTAATGAGCTAAAACAAATACACTGGAACGGTTCTTTAAGTTTGTGTTAGTGTCATACTTCCTAAATTGTCTATGCTAGTATTTAATATGGTAAAAACAGCCGACTGAGGTAGCTGTTCACTTGTTGCGGGTTGCTGGGTAACTTCCACTGCACGCGCTGTGGTCAGTCAGACGAAATGAACAGGAAAAAGACAAACTGAACAGGAAAAAGAATGAGGTCATGTGTACAGAGAGAGAGAGAGAAGAAAAATGAGAGAGTAAGCACAGTTTGAGCGGTGATGAAGCAGGCAAAGCGGGAACCTGCAATCTGCTGACTAGGCGCAGAGTTGAGAGGAGATGGAGCAAGAGAGAGAGCGGGGTGAAAGAGTGCAAAGAGGGAGGCGGGATGAGAGGTGGATGCCCTGACATATTCAATGAGCATCAGCGTGCCAGGCAGTTTACACAGGAGCTGAAAGATGGCGGGACGCATGATTGGGCTCCGGTCCAAGATGAAAAGATTCACTCCTCTGACAAAGCTGCGGTCGGAGGTCAGGAGCCTCCAATCAGATTCAGCCGAATGTGCGGCCATTAAAAAGGCATCAGGGCTAAAGGTTGAAAGTTTTGAATTGTAACAGGCCGAGTGGCACTTCACAGTACAAAAGTCAAAGGTATGAATGATAAAGTCACATTCTGCCGTGAGAGTTAAATGAAGTGCAGCGATTGGGTGTGTGCGGATCACAAGCGACAATAAGAGAAAAAAGCTACTAGATTAGTTTGATCTGCATTTGTCCACAGTGTATGACTTGCAGCTGGTAGACACAACTTAATTTCAATGATCTACAAGACAAAAGGGCTGGAAACTACTATAGACTAGACCTATAGATTAAAAAAAATGATCAGATTAATCAAATAACAACACACTACCCATGTTCTCGATAAGCATTCCTTTGAGGAAATGGCTAAAGAGGTTCAAAGTTGTCACTCTGCAAAAAAAAAAAAAAAAAAAAACTGTGTCTGCTTTCTCAGATCAGTTTAATCCAAAGCAAAATCTGAACATTTGCCAAACCCTGTGCTCAACTGAAGCATGAGGACATGCAAATTAGTTCAACTTTAACGGAATCCACATGCATCATGTGAGCGAGCGGCGAGGGCAGCCGCTCGCTTATGTAATTCCAATTGCAGGTAAAAGGTAAAAAGGGGTCCTCAGTGCGTGACCTTTGACATCGAGGAAATAAAAAATAGCTGTGCACTGACTCAGCACTTTTCTCTGTTGCAGCCTCCCTGCGATGCTCCTGCAACACAAGTTTGTAACATGCCTGTAGTGGGTGATTTGTATGAGTGAAAAAGGTGAGGGGGTTGGGGGGGTGGGGGTGGGGCAAATGTGCACGCTTGCATGTTGTGTGTTTGTGTCATGTGCATCATCACACACCACTGTGAGACTAATGCTGACTCATGTGGAATCTTGCTGTTTCCTGTTCTTGCAGTCGTTTTTACATCCTTTTGTCTCCAACCAGGCCAAGGGGGAACATCTTCTTTTTTTTTTTTTAAATGCGCTGTTGCTAGACCACTGGCTGTATCTTGACCTTGATCTTAGACGTATCAACTTAAAGAAGCAGAGTATAAAAAGTATGAGCCGTTGTATCTCTTTGTACATGTCTCTCTCTCACATTTCTGAGCTAAATCTCCTTGTTTGTACAACTGGCTGCAGGACTCAGCCTCTTTTACCACAGGATACTTTGATATCCTGCACCGTTATTGAATTGTTGTCTCATAAAGGAAGAGGCTTGGTCTCAGACATGCTCTCTGAGCACATTTCTGTTCCTCTCGGACATTGTTTGATGTCATCTGACAGCAACAGGCAGAGGCTCCACTTCAGACTTCACAGAATTCATTTTGATGGTCTTAGGCAGCTCCTAGGTTGTTTGAAGGATGTGATCTTTTATGATATTTTTTGTATTAGGACTTTTAATCGTGATTTAATGATATTATTTATGTTCTAACTTTGGTTTTTCTGTTCTAATCATTTGTCTAAAAATGCTTGCTATAATTGCCTTAATCAGTCTAAAACAGTCTAACACACAAAAACGATTAGTTTATTGTCACATAAAAGAAAGAAAGAAAAAGGATGAACTGATTATCAAAACAGATGCTGATCAATTTTTGTGTTGAACAATCAATTTAACAGCTGATTCCTTCAACTCTACTAATTATTATTGTTACCTGCAGTATCTTGGGCAGGTAACTCCTTTCTCTGAATAGAGAAAATGAAAAAGTGTATGATCATATATTGTGATTTTACTATTTGAAATGAACAATTATTGGCACATTGGAACATTTCTTCTTAGAAAACTTGCTGCAGAAATTGAATAATTTCAACATATGATGAGAACTTACACGGAGACACATTTTATGAAGCTAAAGAAAAGGCTAAACCTGCAAAGATTATCTTAAGTGGAGTCCAAACATGCAGGAACCAAAGAGAGAAATGAGCCGTTGTGTTACTTGATTGAGCCTCTCCATGGCACATGATTGAATTCCACCTCTCAGCCAAACACCACTCGCACTAACAGCAGGCTATGCATATTAACAAGCGTGTGTGTGTTTGTGCAGCATTATGATATAACACTAATCAGCCTTTATAAAGCCCTGTAAGATTAGTTCTTGCTTTTCCTCCCAGCGTTAAATCCCTGTTCAAACAGCCACCAAGCCGAGGCAACCTGCTGCTTGGCCCTCAGACCCTGCAGGCCTGTGTCCATGCATGTGAGCTATTATTACACTGAAGCAATTTACAGGAGACAGAACCACTAAGGCTAATGTTGTAATAAAAGTAATTAGATCAATTAGATATGAAGACAAACTAGTGGTTACCCTGTTTTTTTTTGGGATCTCACCGTGGTTCATCTATATTTCTGTCAATTAAGGATTTAGACTCTGCAGCGCGATTCAATTTTACAAGACAAGAGGGTAAAATTGAAACTAGATATTTAATCAAAGCGATGTGGATTAGAGTCGATGCAGCAATTCTATTACAAAGCACACAGACTGGAGTCCAGCTCAGACTTCGCTAAGCCAGGCAAGCTAATAAAACAGCATTATCAGGGCGGGGCTTTCTTCCACGTGGCCAAAAGTTCACAGCTAATTCCAATTCCTGGCTTTGCACGTTTTTTGGATTTATATATATGTGTGTGTGTGTGTGTGTGTGTGTGTGAGAGAGTGGGTGGGTGGGTGGGTGTCTGATAAATGCCTTTACTGTACAATAGGCCATAAAACTGTTTGATGTCCTCGTGTGCTTGGCCCTTTTCATGGAAACCCAGCGGGGCATGTTCTCAGTGAAAGGATCAGACGAGTCACCTGAGCTCACGTCTCTCCCACACATGACAATGTGAGCTGAATGAGCATGAATGAATGACTTGGTCAAGGACGAAAGCCCCGGCCATTACGAGTCTGGTGACTACGCTGAACTCTGGACGGCCATAAAAGCCTAAGATGGCATATGTGGCTCAACGCTGCCAGCCTGTTTCTTAAGTGGATGAATGGAGGGTGATAAATGAAATGATTAAATGATCTAAATGTCAGTGCAAAGATACGCCGGCGGGTTGGGCTGAAGAGAAGAGACGCTGGCAGCGTGCATAGGGGTCTTTTGCTTGGCAGGATCTGGCAGGATTTGCAATCACATCAGAAACACGATTATCACTCTGGAAAGGTGTAAAAACGTGAATACAAATGTGTGCAAATTGGGTTCTGTGCTCCTTACAGCAGTGCCTTTCCAATGCTACCTCAGGGATTTAGGGAGTAAGTTATAAACTGAGGAGGAACAAGGTCGTCCGACAACATTTTTAGTGACAAGGTTGTTCTTCATCTCTTCCTGTCTCTTTCCTGACCTCCTTTTTCCTAGTCTTTCTCCTCCCTCTCTTGCAGCAAAACCTCTTGGGAATTCCCATGTGCACACACACATACACACACGCGCTTCTCTCCTCCCGTTACCGTGGAAACACAAGCATGAATGAGTCATCCCCTCCCTTCTCTCCATCCTGTCAAGGTCAACACAAAGACCACACACTCCTCAGACCCAACTTGTGCCATATTTCATCCCTGTATGAGTATTGATCGACCTGTTTTCTGATGGCGTTTATTTCTACTTGCTTGTTGTCTGTATTGACTGGCCTGCCACTGTATTAATGTCTTTTACCCCTATTATGACATAGACGAGGTAGTTAGTGCAGTGTTAGGTTTCAATCTGAATAATTAGGGGCAGTGACAGTCGTACTAGATTGTTGGTGATCAATCCTGATAGTTTTAATTGAGTTTAAAAGAGCCATTTGTAAATTCTTCTATTGCTACACAGCCGACGTTAGCATTAGCAGCTGTTTACTTACCAGACTTACAGAGAGCTTCAGCCAACGTCGCGTTTACAATAAAAGGTTATAATACACTCTCTGAGCGGTGCTTCTTCTTTAGGACAGACTGGAGATGCTGCGGTGATTCGGTATCGGAAAGTGAAAGACGGGCCAACCGTGGTCGGGGCTAGCTGGTTAGCATGCTAACCTCAGTACAAAAAAAAGAAGATAGAAACAGAAGCAAAACAAAAGAGTTGTTTTCCACCGCTGGAGACAGCTCTTGGTGAGTAAAAGTTTGATGCTGAACTCACAACCTTTCTTCTAGACTGGTAAGTAAACAGCTGTTAATGCTAACGCTAGCTATGTAGCAATAGCAAAACCTACAAACAGCTCATTTAACAGAATAGTTTATATTATAGTATATACGTATGATATAGTTTTTAGTGTTTTAGGCTGTTGAGCTGGAATTGTATATGACATCTACATGTACACCAGCATAGTTGGCAAATAAATTCATTCTACTGATGAAACATTACAATTATGGAGATGCGGGTCAAACGGTGAGCATGCACGTGCTGCCTGGTGAACATCAGTATCTCCACTTTAAGACGAAAGTTAGGATGGACCATATCTATGTGAACCAATCAGTTTAAACTATTGTGTTGCCTCAGGATATGAAAAGAGTCCGAAAACTTTGTTCTACCTTGATAAAAAGCAGACAAATTGATCTTAGATGGCCCATGTGGCTTCTTCTAAAATGCAATTAAAGGGTTACTCAAGCTATTAATGCTGGTACTTTAGTTTTAGTATAATAGCACAAAGCTGAGAGGCTTGCAGGGGACAGATTAGAGAAATAATGGTCTCAGTTGATGCCAAGATGTCCTGGCTTCAAACTACACAAACACTGGCTCCTAGATTTCCTACAATTTTATCAGACTTTAGTGCCTCTTCAAAGTTGTATTTCTCTATCCAAGTCACCAAAACCTGTGTTGTGTTCATTTTTAATAAGAATATGCCAGCCTGCCATCTCACTGTGTCCAAGTAGGCTAAGTCATGTGAGCCTACAAATTTCTCTGAATGGGCAAAATCCTCTCGAGCATCAGAGATGAGTGAGTGTGACGACATCATCAGCACTGGCCGGGCTACAGAGAAATGATGAAACCTTCGCTGATTAGCCACAGCAGTAAAGGGCCATGAGATATGATGCAACACCTGACTTCATTTTGCCATGAGTTGCAGAGTTTCAATTACAAACACACCAGTGTGTACCCTTTTAGGTCGCCATCACATGTGAGAGTGTGTCCAGTTTGGGAAAGCATATGACTTTAGGACTGTGTGTGTGTGTGTGAGAGAGTGAGCACATGTTCACTTTGGACCAACTATACTGTCTGAGTATCACATATCACTTACTGTGTTAAAATAACCCCCCCCACACACACACACACGCACACGCACACACACGCACACACACATATGCATCCTAAACTTTATATACAGTGGGGTCCAAAAGTCAAAGGGGTGTCAGACTTTTAGACCTCACTGTACCTCCTTTATTGAATGGTGGAATCTGATCCTAATGCAGCTTTTGTACCCTCCTGAGTACAGTCTGTGTTTTCCACCTTATTTGTTATTCACCCCTCTGTCTCTCTTTCTTTCTCTCACACTCCAACACACTTTCCATGCTTTCTCTGACGCACACATCTGCTGTTAAACCGCAAGCACTAACGCGAGGGGAAAGCTGAACTGTTGTGAGGTTAATTGGACAACCCCCTCGCTCCATATGTCAGTCACCATGTCTAGTACAGTAGTAGTGACGATCACTTACCTACAATAATACCACAGGCGCTCACAAGCCCGATTTCTTTCTTGAGTGCAACTCCTCCTCCTCCGGACTCCTCACCGGCAGCATCCTTGGCAGAGCCCGCTGTGCTGCTCCGTTGTCTCGGACCGTCCGTCATTGTGATGGCTGGACTTGGCAAACCCGGCTTGACGGGATCGGTTACCTTTCTTTACCTTCTCTACCACCTCGCTGCACCTGACGCCGCCCGTGCGCTTCGTCTCGCCTCTGCGCCTCAAATGTCTTCCTTTGCGCGTTCGCTGAAACGTGCCGCACTTATCTGATGAGGAAAGTCAGCGACCTGTGTCCTGCCTTCACCGCGCGACCGTATCGCTTCTTCAAAGTCTGAGCGCAGCCACAAAACCACGCTGTCTCTTGTGTCACAGGTGTTGCTACAGGTCACAGTCTACACGCACATCAGGTCCAAAGCGCGTACTCCAATGGCATTCCTTCAATGTCATAAAAAAAAAAAGGAGATAACTTTGTCCTTCACTTTGATTCTTGTGTGAGCAGTGAGGCTCATATAAACAACAATAATAACAACAACAAGCCGTCACTGTTTCCTTGTTCCAGGTGTGAGCTGAAGAGACAAAAGCATCCTCTGCGTGCGAGACCACAAGCTGCTCCGGTTAAAGAAAAAAAAAAAAAGTCTTGTAAAGTCGCTCAGTTCAGCCTCATAAACATCCGACCTGTGTTCAGCTTGAACTGGAGAGGTTGCATTTGAGTAAATACACATTTCGTTCTCCTTCATATGAGTACAGTAGCGCCGCCTCCTTTTCTGCCCCCCAACCCCCCCCCCCACCCCCACCCACCTACTCCGACAATGGGCTTGTTTTTGCTCTTTCAGCCTCTCCACGACCCTCCCATCTGTGTTTTTTTTTTTCTTCTTCTCCCCAACCATCAGCTGTTATTCTAAATTCACTCCTGCCTCTTCGCTGTGGACCTTCCACACACACGTTTAGGTTACAGCGCGCTGCCTCGGCCTTTCTTTCTTATGTCCCGACCACTTCCTCTCACTGTCACAGTCTATTCTCTCCAGCACAGACACTTACTCTCACTCTCACTCATTCATACTTATTATTCAACAACATGCAGCAGAAGCCAGAGTCTAAATTTAGCCCCTTCACGCATCTCACTCCTCGCTCTGCATGCTGCAAGACTGCTGGTGTGTTTCCATCCTGTATATGGGTGCTCACACTGCACAGGACAGAGAAACCGGACTCTCTATACAGTGTTGTCAGAAGCGTGGCTGCTGTAGTAGCAGGTTGTTATTTCCTAATCCAGCTATTTATGACCAAGTCCCTACACTAAGACAACAACAAAAAAATTGAGCGTTTAATAAAGATTTGAAAGATAATGTTTCCCCGCCACATAATGAAAACAGCACTGAGAACATTTCTGCCATTTCAGTGTGAGAATGAGAGAGTCCTCTGTCTGGTTTCATGACCTCGCCATTCTCCAACATTGTCTGAATGCAAATGTTTGCTCCCAGCTCCCTACCCATTATGTCCTTCACTATCTCCCCGATGTGCGTGCAGATGTTTTTTGGGGCCTACTGTCCGTGCTGTGACATGGAACACAAGCCAAAACCGATGCTTGTTACACTCTGATGATGATGATGTGATATGATGCGTTTGTAGTTGCAAATCCCCCTCTGACTTCCTTAAATAGCTCGTGTCAAAACATTTTTCTACATTTTGTCAAAGAGGAAAAGCTATTTCCTCATGATGACACATTTGTTATGCTGCCAAGATATTAATTGCAGTTTTCAGTATAGTTGTTTGTTTGACTTCATTACAGTAAAACCATAGAATTAACATATCTACTGTATCAACACTCGCAATAATGACTTTTTCTTCATACGCATGTCTTGCACACTAATTCTGCAAATGCTTCCTTCCTTCTGAGCATTGATGCTTTTTTTAGTCTTCCGTTTTACTGAATATTGTTGTGCATAACAAGATCATGTCTCTTTAAAAGGTCGAAGAACTGAAAGTCCATCCAACTCACTTCTGAAATAACCATTAGAAGTTTGTTTTTATGCTCCGAACACCACTGGACTGCAGCGTCCCCGGAGCTGTTTGGGTCTCAGTTTTTGTTTTTTGTGTGTGTGTGTGTGTGTCTTTGCACAAGGACACTCCAGCAGCAAAGATGCTTGCAGACAGTCTTTCAGTTAATGTCTAACATATTTTGCTTTATTTGCATGTCCTTTGATTTTACAGGAAACCTTAGATTCACCTGAGAGACCCCCGCACTTCCTGAACAACTGTTGACTCATGATTGCCAGTGCAGAACAAAAAAGGCAGGAGTTACATAACACACAGCTACTAATCTCTGCAAAACTGAGCAAACCAGTGTTTCTCTGCTGAGTGGACAGAACAACAAGGTCACCTGAATCACCTCAGCATATACTCTGACTACACTAAAATGCTGCTCTGCTCTGAGCTGTACCTCTGCCACCTCTCACCCAGATTCCTGTCTGTGTCTCTATGCAGAGTAGATCTGAAACATTTGGCTTTGCAGTGTCAAAAAATACTCTAAATGTACTTACTCAGTGAAGCAAGAAAGGGAACACACTGTGGTGATACCGCTCACTCACAGTACACATGCATCACCATTAGGAAATAGGTCAGTGGACCAGTTTGTTGACTTTTTTTCCTGATGTACAGCACCTATCCGGAACATTTTTAGTAGGTCAACAACAATGACCATGTTGTGGTGATGTTGATGTGACGGTCAAAACTGCCAACCACTGTAAACCTTCATCATGGCATCATTCAAGGCTGACATCTTTATTTACTTCATTATTTCATCCTGATGATGATGATGTGCAGGGATGTAGGATTAAGGTGTAAGAAATTAAAGTTAGAAATTAAAAAACAAAACAAATTCTAATACAAAATGTGATGTCAATGCATTTTTATATATTTATGAAGTCACTGACACTATAAAATGTAATGGTATGGTTTCAGTATTGGCCTTCAACCACTGTATGTCCCTGTTAAAAACAAGCTATATCCAGTTATCACAGAATATCACACAGTCATACACATGGTAGTTTTAACTCAAATATCACAAAGGGATGGAAATGGATGTTGTCCTCTTTTGATCTAGTGTCAGGAAAATTTCACCTTTCCCTGTTGATCAGTATCCTTACAGGTGGACATTGTGATCAAACATAATGACCCGTATTGTTTTGGTTCTGATGGTATTGATAGTTTTGGTTACAGAGTTGGAAGACATGCCTGATCATCTTCCCCATTCATTCGGCATTGTTTGCTTGATTAGATCAGATTATTTGCTGTCACATCATTTCCAATTACAGCGGGATAAAGAGCTTTGATAAAATAATGACAGGTAATACGTTTGGGGAAATGGACCGCATCACTTTTATTTGCTTTTGAGAAAGGTGGGATTAGGTGAGGAAATGATGTGATTAGGCACAAGACAGAGGAAGGATTTCAGAAATACTGAGGCGGTAAATCCAAATTCCCCCAACACATTTCATTTATTCAGTGAAACACAACTAAAACTCTCAAGAAATGAGCTACAGTCCCAGCCCAACACCCCTAGCGATATCTTTTTGACTGATCAAACTGACATTCAACAAAACTTTAACATAATTTCTATGAGCCCAGTTTGATGGCAGCAATCTTCAATTTTTCTATCTGGCTCCTTCCTTTTCAACAGGCTGTGAAATGCTACTGAATGTCACGCGAACATGCTGGTAACACTACTCACAGAGCTCTAATTAAAAAGACAATATGTATCTCCAGCCCCTCATCTCAGAAATATTCCACTGACTTTACTCATCATGTGGGCCGTTAGCACTTAGCAGCTTAAAGGAGAGCTCAGTATTTGCAGAGTTCACAGGTATTCCCATCAATAAATGGCTTGTGTTTCATTGGACGTGTATGTGTGCATGTTTCATCAGCTTGCTGGACCATTTGAGCAAAAAGATAAGGCTTGAGGGTGCGTGCTAAAACCCTGGAGACTCTGACGAAGACCAGGGTGCAGAGAGAGAGAGAGAGAGAGAGAGAGAGAGAGAGAGAGAGAGAGGTGGACACGGAGAACAGAGCCAAGACATGAGTCATCTTAATGTATACTGTGTATACCAGTAAGTCAGAAGATTAGAAAAAGGAGCACTGACAGCGCTGACCTTCCTGCTTTAATGTGAGGGTGTTTGCATCCACCTCTCATGATCCCCTGACTTTCCAGCTAGCGCCATCATCAGGTCAAAATGTGTCCAGTGCTTTGGTTTATGACTAAATACCTGCAAAGCTGATGACACTCCCATTAGCCTCCGCTGTACTTCGCATTGTGTTTGGTGCTAATCTGCAAATGTTAGTCTGCTAACACAATAAAGTAAGATGGTGAACATTAAGATAACTATACCTGCTAAACATCAGCGTGTTAGCATTGTCATTGGAAGCATATTAGCAGGCTAGCATTAGCCTGTAGCTCAAAGCACCACCGTGTCCACAGTAAGCACAGCCTCATATTTGGTGGCATTTACCACTGAGTCTTGATGAGTCGGGATTAATGGTCTGTGGGACAATTCTAAGAAATACAAATGTTGGAGGAGAAAAGGAAGACAAGTGTTTTCAGAGGAGATATGAAGGAGTGGTAGTGTGGTTTGAACTTTGACAGCATGTCCTGAGTCAGCTGTAACAGGGAGTTTATCACCGTGGTAAAGCTGACCCTGGGCCTTTACTCTGATGATGGCTCACACCTTGACGTAGCTGTGTGTGATGAATGTGTGCATGGGACACAAACAATACCTGTACTCTCTCTCTCAGTTGAGGATGTGTGATATTCTCAGCACCACAGACGAACGATGAGTTTAAATTAATGTTTGATTAAATGTTTAAATCACCTTAACTGGACTTATGTTACCAAAAAGCAGTTTTAATTAACACATACACGTCTGCATCCTTTCTTCAGGTCCTCACATCTCATGCACACACTCCACCTTTCCATCACATGGAGACTGACGTAATCGTCTCTAACATATGCACACACACATACATCACATATGTCCATGCACACACATACACACAAACTGGCTGGCAGGTGACAGATCGGGTAGTGAAAGGCATGGAGATCCTCCAGATAAGGCTGTTAATAAGTAACCCCGCTGTTTCAGGTTGTTTGCTGCTCAGTGGCTGGAAAATTGGAACAATAACATGCAAACATGGAGGTAATGGCCGTGGTGCCAGGCAGGCAGACCGCCGGGAGATGCAATGCAGGTCTCCAACAGTAATCACTGGTGTATCAGACTTGTGTCCTCAGGCTTTGGGTGAGAATACGTCTTAAAGACAGACTTACTAAGAGAGATTGATTAAGGTATCTAGCGCAAATTTACGTATAAAGAGATTTAATGAAAAATAAGAAAACACATGGTCATCTGTGGGACAGGGCTCCTGGCCAAGAAATCATCTGGCATCGTCTGACGTTTGTATAGTTTTATTACAGGATAGAAGATACGAACATGTTAATCACTGAGATTTAGATGTGCTGGTAGGTGGGTTTTGTTACCTTTTGGACAGTCTATCTCTTTATCCCCCGTTCCTGGTCTTTCTGCTAAGCTAAGCTAAGTGGTTGCTGGCAGTAGCTATACATTTACCGGACACATATGAAGAGTAGCATCGATCCTCTCATCTAATATAATGCTTTCATCAGCAAGAATTATGGTTTTAAGTAGA